AGTTTCCCTGGCTCCTTTTGTGTAAAGCTAACGATGGGCGCCCTGCCTTCAAGTGTACCATCTGTCTGGAGCATGCAGGGCTCTCTGGAAGGACTGGTCGTCGTGGGCCAGGAATCACAGACGCACAAACACAGGCGTTCAACAGGCACGCTGGTATCGGAAAGCACCGCCTCGCGTTCGGGAAGCAAAACTTTCTGCTGCAGGAAGCTACTACCCAGATGCGAATCGATCAGAACCCGCACGCCGCGGATTTGGAGAGGGAGCGAGTGACTGCGCTTCTCGACCTGCTGTACACATGTTGCAAAACCAACGAACCCATGGACACATGGGTCACGATCACCAACCACCTTGTGTCGCGGAAGTTCAAGAACTTCCCCGAGGGCGGATACGGGACGTACATGAACTCGTAAGGCCTAAATTCCTTTAGACTTTTAAGCTTCGTATTCTTACCTTCCATCCTTATCAACCACTAATGACGAGATTTTTTATGTTATTAAACGCAGGTACGGTTTCGGGGAGTTCACGCAATCCACCGCGACTTGGCTGCACACCACCCAACTGGAGCACCTCCTGCGGAGCCCGTTCATCGGACTTAGCCTCGACGAGAGCACGGACCGTTGCAGAGGAAAGCACATGATAGTCTTCTGCACTTTCATCCGGGACCTCCGCGTCGTCACCGAGTACCTGGCGTTGCTCAGTGTTGACCTTCTCTGCTCGCTCTGCTGCTCTCCCACCTGCAAGCAATTGGTGTCGATCTCCGCCGCATCTCAAGCATCAGTACAAACGGGGCCGCGGTGATGATGGGCTCGAAATCCGGCCTGGTGACTCGACTCCGGATGCGTATCCCTTACCTGGTCTCCTGTCACTGCATCGCTCACCGGTATTTGTTCTTTTCTTTCTTTCTTTCTTTCGCATTTGCACATATGGTGACTCAGGACAATACTAGCTATCACTCATGGTGGTTTGTTTGATTTCTCCCCGTGCTCTTTTCCATGTGCAGAGAGGCGCTGGCAGCTAAGGCGGCGGCGGAGGACATGCCATTCTTCAACATCATCGATGATGTCATCAAGGAACTGGCCGAGTTCCTTGGTCGCTCAGGACCGTGGCACCAGTGCTTCCTTGACCTCCAAGACGTCTTCCTCTCAACGTGCTTGGAGCTGCAGGGTATTCACCAAGTCAGATGGCTCTCACGCGGCGAGGCCATCGGACGGCTGGTGAAGGTCTTGCCAGCCATCGTCGTCATGCTGTCCGAGTTTGCCGACGACCGTCTTTACAAGATTGTCACGAGCTACAGGTTTTGGTTTGTGCTCATGTTTCTTGCTGTTGTTCTTGAGCAGATGAACATTCTCAACAAGACTTTCCAGAGCCGCGAGGTAAGTTTCGTCACATGGTGTTCCTAAACCGCTACTGACGAACCATTGTTGTCTTACCTGTGTTCTCAAACCCCTTCCCGCAGCTGGACATGTCAACGATTCACACGTCGGTCTCCCCCGTGACGTCCCTCCTCGAAAGCCGCTACGTCGACTGCGGCGACGACTTCAACGGGGGCCCGAAAGACCTGCTCACGGCCTTCCTCGCCCGTCACGGTCCTGGTGGTACGCGCAGCGTCACTGTTGAGGGCGTCGACTCCGATGGGCGCCCGAGTCGATTCACCTTCGACCTGCATGAGGAGCCATTGGATGGCTACCCGGGTAAGGGCAAGCACGACGACTGTGTCGTGGCGTGCATGGCACTGGCCAAAGGCATGGTGCAGAACCTGGACGAGCGGCTGGGGGACTTGAAGCAACTGGGTGGTTCAATGCTGTTCTGTGCGGACCAGTGGCCGAAGGGGTGGGAACGTGCTCCACGGAAGGCCCAATGTCTGGAGTGGTTCGAGATGATGGTCGACCTCTACCATGCAGGGGAAGCCAAAGAAATTCTTCCAGGTATCTCACCTGTCTACTACCCCGAGGCTTGCACGATTTGTTAATGTGGTCCGCTCTACCCTACTGTACTAATACTCTCCTCGTTCTCCCTCTTATCCTTCCCCTACTGGCAGGCATCAACAAGCGAGCGGCTGTGCTGGAGATCCCCCATTTCTGCCCCGTCCTTGCCGCCCTGCCAAAGGGTGACAAGGGTTTCTACACCGGCTTGACGACCATGCTGAAGTCTCCAGACTGGGAGGATAGCTTCCCCAATCTCGTCAAGCTTTGGTGCGCTACGGCAGTTCTTCCCCTGAGCACAGTGGAATGTGAACGAGGGTTCTCCCGCCAGAATGTGATCAAGAGCTGGCTGCGGGGCAGCATGAAGGACTCACGCCTTGGAGACTTGATGTGTATGAGCCTGCTAGACTACGACCCAGACTGGGATGCCATCATTGACATCTGGAGAGCCTACAAGAAGCGGAAGCCCTACAGCACTGCCCCACAGAGCAGAGCCCAGAAGAGTAGGAAGGGGAAAGAGAAGGAGGACGATTCCCCTGTAGTCCATGACAGCGTGCAGGCAGAGGAGGATGCTTAAGTAGGTCCTAGTATGCCTATGTTAAATTGTAAACCCTTGTCTTTAAAAAGATAGTAATAATGGGCATTTAGCTGAACAATGTGTTTTTTGTAGGTAACTCTGTTTATTCAGCGCAAAATTTTTACAACACCCTGATTGATCAGCGTAAGTTTCTTTGCGTGGCCTGAAAAAACAGTAAGGCAAGGGGGGGGGGACCCTGAGCGATCAGCGTGCACCAAAACGAATCTGAGGCCCTGCTCGGGACTGTTCCAGACCTTCTGACAGAACCGCCTCGGCTTCTCCAGACCTTTCGGTTCGACCTTCGGGAGTTCTCCAGGCCTCGCTTCGTCACTTCGAGACCCTTTGATCTCCTTTCCGAACCTTCCCATCGCATGGTTCGACTAGCTCTGGTGTTCCTATATCTTGGCTTGCCATTCCTTGTATCGTCATTCATTGAGTGACGGTATTCATTTCCGCGCTACTCTGCTTGTTCATTCATAACACCTGGTATTCAGAGCCACTTTCCTCGCTCACCCGTTTTCGTGAGTTGATTTTTTTTGGGGGGGGGTAGGTCCCTCACGTAAGCTGCAAAGCGGTTGCTCGCGAATTAGATTGATTAATTCACCCAACTACGATAGCGTTTGCGCTTACCTGAGTACAAGCACACGACGGAATTCCCCCTGCCCCAGCGGAGCATTCGCCAAATGGACCAAGCTCAGTTCAACGAGCTTCGGGAGCAGTTCAACGCCATGAACACACACATGGCTACAGTGCTGGAGGACAACGAGCGACTTCGTGCGGAAGTTGCTGAGTTAAGCCAGGCGCGAGAGGATTCGCGTCAGAATTCTGCCGCCCAAGAAGAGGTCGCCAGCACCGGACGTGTCGAAACCGTCTTGGACGAAATCGCACGTGAGGTGTCACAGGAGCGCAAGGACAGTGAAGCCGCCGCAGCAGCTGACGTGGCAGCACGAGCAGCAGCCGAAGCAGCAGCAGCAGCGACAGCAGCAGCCGCTCGGTCAGAAGCAGCCGCTACTGTAGCCGCACCGGCGTTTATGCCGATCGTGACAACAGCGACGATCAAACCGACAATGCCGCCCCTGTTCAACCCCACAGATAAGAATACTACTGTTACGGGCTGGTTATTTTCAATGGAACTTTATTTTAATGCTGCTGGGATCACTGCTGATGATTTAAAAATTCGACTGGCTGTATCACTACTGCGGGGATATACTCTACAAGAGGGGGAGTTTTCGGCAGGCGACACACAGGGTTTTTTCGGAAACTTTGGGTCTGCTGCCCAAGGGTCAACCGCGATTTTTGGATCGACCAAGATTCGCACGTGGAAGGCGTGGGGTACAGCTCTGCGTGAACGATTCGAGCCAATATCCGCCTCGGACAACGCGCGCACGAAGCTGGACAACTGGCGCCAGTGGAGTTCTGTCTAGGATTATGAGTCGGCCTTCATGGCGTTATGCAACCAAATCACCGACATGCATGACTCCGAGAAGAAAGCTCGATTCATTTCGGGTTTGAAGCCGGACATTAAATGCGAGGTCCGAATGCGACTGCCGGCGACGTTTCACGAAGCCGTCTGGATCGCAGACAACTTCGACGCGCATCGGACGTATGCTAGAGCGGGTTCCCAGGAGGGAAATCGTTTTCGTGGCCAGGATCCACGGCCCACGATTCACGACATAGTGGCGAAGGAGCACATGGAAGATTTTCGCAAGGGGCACTGTTTCAACTGCCACCAGCCGGGTCACCAATCTCACGATTGCCCCCGAAAGAAGCAGATAAAGAAGAACGACGAAGGCAGGTCGGGAAACGCCAAGCGTCAGTAGCGGTCGGGCCCCCTACTGACCCTGCCTCATCGCTCGAAAAGCATCATCCCCACCGAGTAGTGGTTCCGATACATGCTATCAACCGCTCCCGGCTGAAAAAGGAGGATGACCCAGTGGACCACCCTGTACTGGCGGAAGGACGACTTCATGGAAGAAAAATAAAAATATTCATCGACGGAGGTGCGAGTCACAGCGTGATAAATCGAGAGACAGCACGACGACTACACCTGACGCTGGAGCGGTGTCTACCCGAAATCGACGCGCGATTGGTGGACGGCACCCCGCTGGCGATACGCGACAAAGTACCTGTCGTTCGAATGAAGTGTGGCGAAGATTTTGGTTTCAGCGCGCCGATGCTGGTGACAACGCTCGACAGCTACGACGTGCTATTAGGACGCGATTGGCTGCGACGATTTAACCCGCAGATAGATTGGACAACAGGCGAGTGCACAGTGAAGTGCGACAAGGGTTGGCGAAAATTACCCACGTGGCCGGAAGCAGAGACAACGTCGACACGGGTCAACGCGGTGTGCCTCAACCGAGCGGTCAAGAATGGAGCGGATTTATACGCCGTCCATCTAACCGAATCGACAGAGCAGAACGAGGCGGCCGACATCAACAAACTCTGCGCTTCGGTCCCGGACGACTTGGCGAAAATCATTCGGGAATATCCTGAGATTTTCCCGGACGACTTGCCAAGTGGACTGCCACCCGAACGACCCCAGGATCACAAAATCGAGCTAGAGCCCGGCGCGCAGCCTACTGTACGCACGCAATGGCGCCTGACTCAGCCGGAGCTACAGGAGTTACGAAACCAACTGGACTACCTGCTGGCGAAAGGGTTCATTCGGCCGAGCACGTCACCGTTCGCAGCACGGATCCTGTTCACGCCAAAAAAAGACGGCGGCCTTCGCATGTGTACGGATTATCGTGCCCTTAATCGGGTAACGATAAAATCGCGATACCCAATCCCATGAACGGACGAACTGATCGACAACCTTCGCGGAGCTCGCTACTTTTCGAAGATCGACCTTCGTGGCGGTTACCATCAAATTCGGGTGTTCGCTGACGACTGCCACAAGACCGCGTTTCGTACTCGCTACGGGAGTTACGAATACACGGTGATGCCGTTTGGATTAACAAATGCCCCCTCGACGTTCCAACTCACCATGAATGGGGTGTTCCGCGATCTACTCGACAAATGCGTAATAATTTACCTGGACGACATCCTGATTTACAGCAAGACCCGGGAGCAGCATTTAAAGGATTTGGAAGCGGTTTTTCAGCGGTTGCAGCAGCATCGTCTCATCACCAAGGGCTCCAAGTGCGAGTTTTTAAAACAAGAACTGGAGTTCCTGGGGCATGTGATCTCCATGGAGGGGATTCGAATAGACCCGAAAAAACTCCGGGCTATTCAGGAGTGGCAAGCGCCAACAAATCTGCAGCAGCTGCAATCGTTTTTGGGTTTTGTGAATTACGTGCGACGGTTTATACCCAATATGGCAGGGTTAACTGGACCTCTAACCGACCTACTGCAAGGGGAATTTTTACGAGTGGGGGGAGAAGCAGCAAGCTGCGTTCGAGGCATTAAAAAATCTTTTAATGTCGCCACCGGTACTTCGCATCGCTGACCCGGAACGGCCCTTCGAAGTCATCACCGACGCAAGTGACATCGCCATCGGAGCAGTGTTCATGCAGGATTTCGGCAACGGGCTTCAACCAATTGCGTACGAGTCTCGGAAAATGCAATCTGCTGAGCGCAACTACCCGGTACACGACAAGGAGATGCTGGCGATCGTCCACGCGTTCAAAATCTGGAGGTGCTACCTGACTGGAGCAGACGTGACAGTGCGAACTAATCACAAATCATTACAGTATCTGAGGGCGCAGCCGAATCTCAACCCGCGGCAAATACGCTGGCTAGAGTACATGGAGTCGAACTTCACGTACAAGATCGCGTATAAAAAGGGCGCCAACAATATTGCCGACGCCCTTTCCAGACCATCTGCCCAACTCGCAGCAGTACTAGTCGCCCAGAGCAACTCGCTATTGAGTGGACTATTTACCCACGGCTATTCGACTGACCCCTTCTTCGTAAATGACGGCCATCTCCCAATCACTACACGGAAAGGCGTCTATTACTTACGAAGCGGGACTGATCGAATTTGGGTCCCAAGTTATCGTCTACTTCGCGAATTACTAATTCAAGAAGTCCACGATTTGAATTTATCAAGACATTTCGGGGTTGATAAAACTTTGAAGGCGTTGCAGCCCCTCGAGCCACCTCAACGCCCATGGCAACACGTAACGATGGATTTCGTTACGGGACTACCGGCCGGATCCAGCGGAAACGACGCGGTTTTGGTGGTCGTCGACCGATTGACGAAGATGGTGCATTTCGCACCATGTCGTACAACCATCACAGCCGAAGAAACAGCGCGCCTGTTCATCTCGACCGTTGTTCGTCTACACGGGATACCAGCAGCAATCATTAGCGATCGAGATCCGAAGTTCACGTCAAAATTCTGGCAGGACATGTGGGCTCGGTACGGCACGCGTCTACAGTTCTCATCCGCTTATCAAACGATGGAGCAGCTGATTCGGACAAACTGCCCTGACCGAAACAAATGGGAGGACGTGCTGCCCATGTTGGAATTTTCCTACAACAACGCGCCCTCAGCTACGACTAATCACTCCCCGTTTTATCTCAATTACGGGATGGATCCTACAGTGCCGATCTCCACCAACGTTGAGAGTCAAGTACCGCAATCGAAGCAGTTCGTCGAAGAATTACAGACTGCCCGAGACAAAGCTGTCGAATTTATTCGCAAGGCGAACGCTACTGCCCGACAGTATGCGGATTTACATCGCCGGGATATTACGATGACAGCCGTGTCGAGTGACCCGCTGGGTTACCCTTAAAAAGATCCTCGGAGAAGGGCCACAGGTGCAGAGCCTGGGGGTTTATGGGCGCACTTACCCGCTATTTAACAAGCCCTTTTAACCAAGTGGTTAGTGACTGGGTTTCTGACATGGTACATCAGAGCCAAAGGTCATGGGTTCTAGTCCCAGTGCTAGCGCTGCAGAGGCGCTCGTGTCTTCCACCTATCCCAGCGAGGGGGGGTGTCGAGTGACCCGCTGGGTTACCCTTAAAAAGATCCTCGGAGAAGGGCCACAGGTGCAGAGCCTGGGGGGTTATGGGCGCACTTACCCGCTATTTAACAAGCCCTTTTAACCCAGTGCTTAGTGACTGTTTCTGACAAGCAGGGCAACTAGTCCTTTTGGACACCAATAATTTACGACTGCCACTACCGACGAAATTACGACCACGTTTCTGTGGCCCATTCAAGATCGTGAAGATGGTAACGCCGGTGATCGCCCAGTTGCGCCTACCTGATGACTGACGTATTCACAATAAATTCCACGTGAGCCTGTTGCGACCCTTCGTTCCTGACACGTCGGACATCGCCCGTCAGCGATTGGTCCCAGACGTACGGCCACCAGCCGAGACCACCATCGAGCCTTCGAAAATCTTGAGCCATCGGATTCGTATTGACGGTCAAGGACGACACGTTGACTTTCTTATACGATGGACCAATCGTACCAGTGAGGACGACACGTGGGTGCCCTCGGACCAGATAGATTCACCTTCGATACTTGCGAATTATTTGGACCGCAAGCACGTGGCTGATATAGATCACCTTCGCTAAAGGGGGGGGGGGTGGTGTAAGGAATTTTCCATCCCTTACCGAGCGGTACTGCTTCTCAAATATATGTATAACTCATATTTGTATAGACTGTATAGGGTCACCTCTTAGAGGGTACAACACTCTTAGGTATATACCCTTGTTCTCTCCCTCTATTCAATTATTCAGTTTTCTTCTCGACATGGTATCACCCGTAGGTTCGACCCCCCTCCCCACCTACCGCTTCCGCCCGTTCCTCCTAGGCCCCGTCGCGCTTTCACCTAGGCCCCGTCGCGCCGCCCCCACCTAGGCCCCGTAGTACGAGCTGGCTTTCCTGTCCGAGGCTGCTCCCCATCTCTGCTCCATGCTTTTAGTCCCTGAGGGTGACCCAGACGCCTTCGACATCCCGACCCCTCGCACTTACGCTGAGGCCACCTCGGGACCTTGGGCCTCTCAGTTGATAGCTGCCATGGAGCAGGAGATGGCATCTTGGAGGTCCACCGGCACTTACGTCGACGCAGTTCCCCCGCCTGGGGTGAACGTAGTCGATGGTCGGTGGCTCTTCAAGGTGAAGCGCCCTCCTGGAGAGCCGCCTGTCTTCAAGACGCGCTACGTGGCCAGAGGTTTCAGTCAGCGCGAGGGGGTTGACTTCTTCCAGACCTTCGCCCCGACCCCGAAGATGACCACTCTTCGGGCGCTGCTACACGTAGCAGCGCAGCGTGACTACGAGCTTCACTCCCTCGACTTCTCTATTGCCTTTCTTCAGGGCAGCCTACACGAGCAGGTCTACCTGCGCCGACCACAGGGCTTCACTGGTACCTTCCCTCCTGGGACCCAGTGTCTTCTCAGGCGCCCGGTCTACGGCCTGCGTCAGGCTCCCCGCGAGTGGCACGACACGCTTCATGCCACGTTAGCTGACCTGCAATTCTTTCCATCCTCTGCTGACCCTTCACTGTTTGTGCGTTCCGGCCAGACTCCGTTCTACATCCTTGTCTACGTAGACGACCTGGTCTTCGCCACTCCTGACAGGGACGCACAGGCCTCTGTGAAGACTGAGCTGCTGAAGAGACACACCTGCACTGACCTTGGAGAGCTGCGTCGCTATCTTGGCCTGCAGATCTCTAGGGACAGAGCAGCACGCACCATCACTCTGACCCAGTCACACTTGGTGCGTCAGGTCCTTCAGAGGTTCGGTCTTCAGTTCTCCTCTGCACAGCCCACACCTCTACCTGTAGACCAAGGGCTTTCAGCTCCTGTTCCTGAGGAGTCAGTAGAGCCCAACGGCCCCTACGCAGAGCAAGTGGGTTGCCTCATGTACCTGATGACCTGCACTCGCCCAGATCTCGCATACCCTCTCAGCATCCTGGCTCGCTTTGTGGCCACAGGCAGACACCGACCACAGCACTGGTCAGCAGCCAAGAGGGTTTTGCGATATCTAGCAAGTACATCAGGCATGGGGTTAGTGTTAGGAGGACGCAGGCCAGTGGTCCTCACTGGGCACACAGACGCTTCTTGGGCAGACGATTCTGAGACGCTCAGGTCGTCGCAGGGCTACTGTTTTAGCCTTGGTTCGGGTGCCATCTCTTGGAGATCCACTCGCTCGTCGTCTGTAGCTCAGTCCAGCTGTGAGGCTGAGATCTACGCTGGTGCCATGGCGGCACAGGAGCTCCGCTGGCTCACCTTCTTGCTCACAGACTTAGGTGAGTGGCTTAGCTCTGCCCCGGTCCTGTACGCTGACAACAGGGCCATGATACTCCTGTGTCAGGAGCCTCGACTTGAGGGCAGAGCGAAGCACATTCAGCTGCGGTACTTCCTCCTGCGCGAGCTACAGCAGCGTCGCCAGGCCCGCGTAGTTCACTTGGCCTCAGGTGCCAACACAGCTGATATCTTTACGAAGGCGCTTGCGCCTAAAGATCATCAGCGGCACTGCGTACAGCTCGGTCTAGTTCCTGTAGCCTCTCACTTGCTAGGACCTTGACTTTGTACTGTCCTATATATATGTATATATGTACTCAGACTGGACTTGTGTCCTTTCCCAGTGGCTAGACTAGTAGTGCCGCCCTGGTCTTGTTCTTGTCTTGCCTGTACTCCTTGTGACTGGTCTTTAGACCCTTGTCTCAGTGGCTGGACTAGTAGTGCCGCCCTGAGCTGCTTGTTCAGGATTTGCCCCTATGCAGTCTAGGGGGTGTGTCAAATTTATGTATAACTCATATTTGTATAAACTGTATAGGGTCACCTCTTAGAGGGTACAACACTCTTAGGTATATACCCTTGTTCTCTCCCTCTATTCAATTATTCAGTTTTCTTCTCGACACTGCTATCGCGTACGCTCGAACACACCTGAAGCCTCGGGATTGTTCCAGTCCTTCTGACAGAACCGCCTCGGCTTCTCCAGACCTTTCGGTTCGACCTTCGGGAGTTCTCCAGGTCTCGCTTCGTCACTTCGAGACCCTTCGATCCCCTTTCCGAACCTTTTCATCGCATGGTTCGACTACCTCTGGTGTTCCTATATCTTGGCTTGCCATTCCTTGTATCGTCATTCATTGAGTGAACATCTCGTAATTCATTTCCGCGCTACTCTGCTTGTTCATTCACATACATAACAGCATCCTTGAGAAAACTGTGTTCTTGTTTACTTATCTCCACTTGCTCCAGTTCAGGTTTGAGGTTACACCTTTCCGAAATCTGTAAGGAAATTCCCTTTTCCTTACTGGGCTCGATTACAGCGCGTACGCTTTAGACTCTCGTAAGTCCAGGCTTGGCCAACTTCCTCAACCCCAAACCATTTCACGAACCCAAACCTGGACGCGCAGCGCTTCCGTGGCTTTCGCCAACCGACATCGCCCCAACCTGTTCGCACAGTTCTCGGGTTCCTTTGATCGTGTCTGTAAATGTCTATACCCTAAACACCCACTGATTATTTCATACAAAACCGTGATTGTTGCTGTACTTCAATCAAAATGTTCTCGAGAATGAACCAAGCCTCTGGCTGATAGGAGAGTGTCAGTTGGTACCGCTGATCCGGTAAGCATCTCAGGTGCAACACAAATGAATTGAAATAAAGCTCTTACAAACTTGAGACATGCATACAAGTACAAATACATAAGGAGCAAGCTCCAACGTTTCTGAAGCTCGTGACTCCTACACATAACCTTAGACAGCAAAAAATAAGCACGCGTTTACATGGCCTTGGAGAAGGCAGAGAAGCCGCAGTCGGTGGAAAGCACTCCTGACGTCTCGTAGTCCGCGGCCTTGCCGTCCAGGAAGCCCTTGCCGTTATCGCCGTCGGCGGAGAAGGGAGTGCGCAGAAGCCGCGACAGCATGGCGTAGTCGATGGCGCGCTCCGTGCGGCCCTCGCGGTACGTCTGGCCCATGATGCCGTGCACAGACGATGAGCGCGACACGTGCTTGAAGTTGACGTTCAGGTGCACCTGCGCGTCGTCGGGCGTTTGCAGCAGCGGGTGTGCGGGCCTGAGCTTGATGTCCATGGCCAGCTTGTCGCCGATGCGCAGCGAGTACGAGTCCACGTCGAAGAACCCGCCGCCCTCCTGCTCGTACCCCTTGAACACAAACGCCAGGCCGCCATCCAGGTTGTACGACTCGCCGGGCTGCACCACGAGCAATCAAAGACAGGGGGACAGGTTAGCACGAGGGAGTCTACAGAACAGGCGCGGGTAGAAACAGACGGGGTGCACAAGGGTGCGTGTGGGGAGACCGTGGCGGGCAACTGACCTCGAGGGAGGGGAGTACGCGGCCGTCGAACTCGACGAGGGAGAGGAAACCATTGTCACGCTTGTCCGACTTGCCGTTGCGCGCCGCCAGGCGGAAGGAGTGCTCCACGCCGTCAGCGCTCCACACGAAGCCCAGCTCGCGGATCCACGTGCGCACAGCCAGCCCGTTGCGCAGCAGAGACGCGCCGATGGTGCGCGTGTCGTAGTACCCGCGCATCTTCATGTTCACGTGCAGGCTCGAGTCAGTCAGCAGGCAGTACGTCTTCTCGGGAGCGCCGTTGAACTCGAACCGCGTGCCGTGCGCGCCGCGGAAGTGCGGGTCGTGGTGCGTGTAAGGGCAGGGGCGGCCGAGAGTGGAGGCGTTCACGTAAGTGCGCGTGCCGTTGAGAGTCGTGGTCACGGTCTTCGTCTCGCACGTGGGCTGCGCGTCCGAGGGCTTGTACAGGTAGCAGATACCGCAGTTGGAGCAGGAGAGCGACGAGGGGATGTAGTGCTGCCAGAAGGAGCACGAAGTCGAGTTGGTGCACGCCGCGCAGCACTGACGGCGGAGCACAGCGTTACCATAGCAACGGGGGGTTGTGCCGGTGGCGCAGCGCCCGCCGTTGGGAATCACGTAGCGGCCCTGCAGCCCGCTGTTGTCGGTGCAGTTGTCCGTGCAAGGAATGTCCAGAGGAGGCGTGCACGTGGTCGCACCGACACCCGGGTATTTGTTGTCGTTCCACAGAACTGCCAGGAGTTCAGAAGAAACACATGCAGGAGTAGGATCAGACCAGAAATGTGACGTACGAGCAACGAGCGTAGCCAAATAAACGATGACAAACGAGGCAGGACATTGCGACGAGGGGCGGGTACGTACTGGTGGAAGACGTGGTGCTGGAGGTTGTGCTGCTGCTGGTGGTGGTGGTGGATCCCGACGCCGACTGCGCCGTAGTGTACTGCTTGTACGCCGACGTATAAGCGTCGTTGGCCTGCGCCGCCCACGTGTACGCGTCCGTCTCCGCCTTCTTGGCGGCGGTCACCTTCTTGTTGGCGTCGTCCAGGGCCTTGTCGGCGTCCATCTTCTTCAGCGACACCTCCACCTGCTTCCCCTGGGCAGCCTCCAGATCGTCCGACTTGGTCTTGAGCACGGCGTCGGCGTCGTCCTTGGCCTTCTTCAAGGGGGTGTACGCGTTAGTGGGAGCGACAGCGGCCGCCACGGCCTTGTTGTAGTCCGCAACTGCCTTGTCCAGGCTGGCCTTGTTCGTCTTCACAACGGTGTCCTGCTTCGTCTTGGCGGAGCCCGTCAGCCCCACGGCCTTCTTCACCTCCGCGTCGTACTTGGCCTGCGCGGTGTCCCTCGCCTTCGCCTTGGTATCCACGGCGGCCGTTGCGGTTTTGTACGCCGGCTCAGCCTTGGCCAGATTCTTTCCCGCGTTCACCGCGTTCGTGTTGGCGACGTTCTTGGCCGTCTGCGCGTTCGTCACCTCTTTGTTTGCCGCGGCAAGAGCGGCCGCGGCGTCATCGCTTGCCGTCTTCGCATCGCCAGCCGCCAGCTCAGCGCCGATTCTCTCCGCTGTCCTCTGGGTGGCCTGCTGCTGCAGCGCTTGCGACTTCTGCTTCAGAGCCTGCACCTCCGAGTTCGTGGGCACGACGTTCGCGGACGTAGTCGAAACCTTCTTGCCAGCAAGGGCATTGCCGCTAAGAAGTAGTACCACGAGGGACACGAAGAGGAGTTTGGGACCCATTTCGATCCGCTTGGGGTTGAGTAAACCTGTATCCTGAATCTACTTCAAAGAAATGAAATACGACTAAAGGGGTGGGGGAGGGAAGGATGTGGGACGCTCAGCTGCTTGACTACCTTAGATGAGGTCGGATCGATCTGAATGTTGAGGATGGGGCAAAGACTAAAACTATTGTTGATTGGGGGATGCCAAATGCGGGAGAGCCGTGCTTGCCTGGTCACTCGCTGTTGCGTGAGAACACCTGAGATATCCTGCGTCTCGGACGACTGCCTTGAAGTACTTGCCCTTGGGGACGTCGAGGGGGGGTGTGGGCCGTGGGGTTCTAACAACCACACCAGTTCGCTGGTGGGTGAGTGTGCCAGGTTCCGTCGGGGTGGAGGGGGCAGGGGGGGTCTCACAGGGTGGGGCAGGGTGGGTGAAACTGCATTATCGACGCACTCGACGACGCACAGGCGAACGTTGCGGGCACAATAGAATTTTCATTCATGGTCAGACTTGGGATGGATCGAGAGGGTGACTTCGTTGGATGCACGGAGGTCTCCAACTGTCCGGAATGTTTTTTGCGCACTTCAATTCATCACATGTGTGGAAAGTTTTGTTCCGTAAGGGACGATAGAATTCTATCATGGAGTAATGTTTGCAGATTACCAGGTTTTTTGTTGACATTATCGATCCCAGGCCTGCAGAATAATATTTCGAGTCTGCGCATTTTTAGAAGCTAATGTCCCTACAGAATGTTCTTGCAGGTGAATTTCGCAGAGGATATCGTTGTTGCGTCTGTTGAAGACGAATCTTCGAAAGCACCTGACGTATTGGGGACCATCCAGATCGTTCGTGTCTTTCCAGAAACAATCTGTGTGGGGCCTTGCCGAAGCTTTCCTTGACATTCTGCGCTGGATTCTCACTGACTGCTGTACAAACGATACAGCTCTAGGTTCGAACTGCTTCCCAGGTGAGCTCAGCAGCCCATACCTCCAGGGTCTGTTAACAGAATCATGTCGTTTCCGGTTTTCCTTATTCACTGCTGACTGTTTTGGCGGTTTTGGCATCACCTTGTGCCTTCCATTCCGCAGAAGGGGCTTGTTGTTCATGTTACCGTGTAACGATTCGACCCCTTCTGTTTCATGCGAGCCCCCAACGTGGTTGACGAATCCCGCAAGCCAATACGGAATACAGGACGAGATTGTTCGCATGTTCTCACATCCTGCCCAGGATCTGTACCCCCCAATTCAGGTGGAAGTATGTGGCTGTTGTTCTCCAACCGTTACATGATTTCTCCTTGAACTTCGCTCACAGTTTTCGCCACCGCGATTGTGCGGCCGTTAACCTCACACTGGTTTGAGAACTTGTGTTACGAGACCTGGCACCTGTGCTGCTTTCTCTCGCCAACCGCGAGGGCGTTAAATCTGGGGCTTGGCGAGTTACTGTGTCTTTTTCGCAGCGTCTTTCGTTACTTCGTAAAACATTTTGATTAAACTCGTGTGCTTCGCTAGATGCACAGTCCGTGGGGTCTCGCTGTGGGCAGGTGTCATGCCAGAAACACAAGGCCCGCACCCACCCTGCCTCACCCATCTTGGTTCTCTCCTGGGAACCAACCAGCTCAGTCCTAGTGCTGAGCTGGCGCGCATTTTCTCTCCGCTGTAGCTCACCACAATCAGGGCTGTCCACCAGCGCGAATTGTCCTCGACTCCCCCTTCAGTTCATGCGTTACTTCAGGAAGCCCCTGAGTCCTGACCCTATTCCCGCTGCGTCGCCCTCCACCCAATCACCCACCGTGCGGCCCCCTTCCCCGCCAACTCCCGCACAAACACCCCCTGTAATGGAAATCACAGACCCCTTGCCCAATGGCAAGACGCCATTCCTCCTCCCCCCTCCCAACTGCACCTCCCCTCCCCTGCCCGCCACACCCCCTCCCCTCCCCCTCCGCAACGGCCCACTGTGAGTCGCGCGGGGGGAAGACCTCACCCCCGCCATCATCAGCAGCCCACACCCTAGAAGAGCAGCGTTGAATTTTTGGATTCAGCTAGCTCGACTTCGACGGACACAACACAGAAGTGGCGCAAGCAGACAGAATCCCAGCTAAGCACCACTAGGCAGTGACTGCACCGCTCTAGGTCGAAGTCCCAGACAACTCGCTCCTAGGCCGAAGTCATCCCTCCCTCCACCTCCAGTCAGCTCGCTCCCACCCTTGACAGCCCTACTTGACTAAAATCTTAAGTTCAAATAAGATCCCTACAAGAGAGAAACTGGAGTGAGGCCCGTCGCGTCACTCACAGTCCCCTTTCGCATGTGAGGCTCACCGATCCCACTCGCGATTGCCGCCGGTAACCAGTCTTGGACATCAGTAGTGCAAGCGTAGTAGTCGACCCAGTTCAAGCACGTTGGTCTTCGCGGACCCGCGCGGTCCGCACAGTACAAAACCAGCTCCCATGCGGAGTCTCACGAGGGCCGCCATGGCCCTTAGCTGTCTTATTCCGTTGCTACTAATCCCGTCGCTCGTCTCAGGAGCCGCCATGCCGTCGCAGCAGGGGGAGGTGTCGCAGCAGGCGCAGCAGATGGCGGATGACGCGATGAAGGCGCTGCAGGCCAGAATAGACCAACTAAACGCCGCACTCGCGAAAGCAACGGCGGAGAAACTGCAGGTGCAGCAGACGGTGGCGCAACTCGCGGCCGCGGTGAAAGACAAGGCTGCGCTTTTGGCCCAGGCGAAAGACGAGGCGAAAGCGGCGACGGAGGCGAAGAATGCCATGGTTGCTGTTGCGAAAAACATGGCGGCGGAATTGGCGAAGAACGCGGATGTTGTGAAGAAGGCTAAGGCTGCGGCGGACGCGGCGCTAAAGGCGGTCGCGACGGCGAAAGCGACGCTAGACAATGCGAAGAAAAAGGCAGCAGCTTCGCCGACTAAGGCGAACACGGACGCGTTGGCGAAGGCGCAGAAGGACTACGATGCGAAGCTCGCGACGTCGCAAACGGCGTCCGCGAACCTCGCGACTGCGAACTCCGCTTACACCACGACGGTCGCAGATAAAGCCGCAGCGGATAAGGCGGTGGCAGTCGAAACGGCGAGCGAGAAAGCCCTTTTGAAACAGGCGTCGGTCGCCGAGTCGGAGTTTAACGGCTTGACTAAGCAGAAGGCTTCAGCTGATAAGCAGGCAGCGGAGAAAGAGGCGGCGGAAAAGGCGGCGACGTCCATGGCGTCGGCGGCGCGCATTGCGGCGGATAGGGCGGCGTCGTCCATGATCACGACTGTGACTACAACGGGGCTCTCATCCACCGCTACAGTGACGTCGACGACGAATACCAACAACAGTGCGTCGCGTCACGTCGCTTGATTCTTTAGAATACTAAATTTACTAAGGCTGCGTCGCTTGATGCTGTTGCTGCTTCTGGTGTTTCCACCCCCTCCTGCTTTCTGTTCCTGGCTGTATTGTTTTAAGTGCTAGTATGTTTCCATTTTCCTCTTCCAATTCCCCCATCCCTACCCAGTTTCAAACCTCCACCCCCCCCCCTTCCCCCCACCCCCCACCCCCATTCCCCCCCCCCTCCCCCAATAACCCTCTTTCTTTTTAACCCCACGCAGCTTCTGGCAACTCCTCCTCCTCCACCTCCTCTTCCTCTTCCTCCTCCGCGATTCTCGGCAGCGCGATATTCAACGACGACAAGTACAACTACCAAGTGGGGATCAACGACTGCGGACCGCCCAACGACGTTTCCTGCACCGACGCGCCCACTACCTCCACGGGTCGACTCAGCCGCTACGTGGTACGTGCTCGCGACGCTCGCGCTGCTTGCGCTGCCTACGATGACTGCTAACCCCCGCTGTGTGCTTTGAGCCCGGACGACTCATGAGCACGCCAGCTCCTTAATTCCTTCCCCTAAACCCTCAGCACCCTTTTTCCCGCTTCCCTCCTCCATCCCGCGCCTCTCCCCTGCCTTCCCCATTCCGTAGATCCCCAATGGCGGGCGCTGCGCGGGCGCGGTGGCGCCGGAGTGCGCGGGAGGGGGGATAACGTCGGTGGAGTGCGCGAGTGCGTGCGCCAACATGGTCAACTGCACCTTCTGGCAGCACTTTCCCCCGTGAGCACCCTACCCTCATTGATCCACCCCACATCGCTCCGCCCATCATTGCTCCGCCCCGCATTGCTCCGCCCATCATTGCTCCGCCCCGCATTGCTCCGCCCATCATTGCTCCGCCCCGCATTGCTCCGCCCATCATTGCTCCGCCCCTCATTGCTCCGCCCCTCATTGCTCCGAGTCTCATTATCCCTTCCTAACCTGCATCCGCAACTCTCGCCTCCCCCCCGCCCCCGCGCAGCCCGCAAGCGACGCTGTGCACCAACTGCGGCGTGTGCTTCCTCTACAAGGCCACGGATCCCGCGCCCAAGTGCCAGACCGCCATGGTTTTCGCTGGAGGAATCAACCGCCTTGAAGCTAATGCCTCCAGGCTCGGCCGGCCCTGCACAGTCAAGCAACCGCCGCCACCATCCCCTCCGCCGTCCCCCTCTCCCCCTCCCGCTTCCCCCTCTCCCCCTCCCGTTTCCCCCTCTCCGCCTCCGCCTTCTCCCCCTCCCCCCACCCCCTCACTCCCCACTGTTCTGTGGAACGACAACAAGTACCCGGGTGTGGGCGGCACCACGTGCACGCCTCCTCTGGACATTCCTTGCACGGACAACTGCACCGACACCAGCGGACTCAGCGGCCGCTACGTCGTTCCTAATGGCGGGCGCTGCGCCACTGGCACGAGCCCCCGGTGCTACGGCAACGCTGTGCTCCGCCGTCAGTGCTGCGCGGCGTGCACCAACTCGACTTCATGCTCCTTCTGGCAGCACTACATCCCCTCGTCGCTCTCCTGCTCCAACTGCGGTATCTGCTACCTGTACAAGCCCTCGGACGCGCAGCCCACGTGCGAGACGCGAACCATTGTCACGAGCAACGGCACGCGCACTTACGTGAACGCCTCCACTCTCGGCCGCCCCTGCCCTTACACACACCACGACCCGCACTTCCGCGGCGCGCACGGCACGCGGTTCGAGTTCAACGGCGCTCCCGAGAAGACGTACTGCCTGCTGACTGACTCGAGCCTGCATGTGAACATGAAGATGCGCGGGTACTACGACACGCGCACCATCGGCGCGTCTCTGCTGCGCAACGGGCTGGCTGTGCGCACGTGGATCCGCGAGCTGGGCTTCGTGTGGAGCGCTGACGGCGTGGAGCACTCCTTCCGCCTGGCGGCGCGCAACGGCAAGTCGGACAAGCGCGACAATGGCTTCCTCTCTCTCATCGAGTTCGACGGCCGCGTCCTCCCCTCCCTCGAGGTCAGCTGGCCTGCCATGGCTTTCTTTGCACGCTTCCTTTTACACCCTGCCTGTTTCCTTCGCACTTCTTTCTCCGCGATTGACCTCGTGCTCACCTGTCCCTGTCTTGCCTCTGACTGCGATTGTTTCTTCTAGATTGCCCTCGTGCTAACCTGTCCCCCTGTCTCTGATTGTCGGTGGTGCAGCCCAGCGAGTCGTACAACCTGGACGGTGGCCTGGCGTTTGTGTTCAAGGGGTACGAGCAGGAGGGCGGCGGGTTCTTCGACGTGGACTCGTACTCGCTGCGCATCGGCGACAAGCTGGCCATGGACATCAAGCTCAGGCCCGCGCACCCGCTGCTGCAAACGCCCGACGACGCGCAGGTGCACCTGAACGTCAACTTCAAGCACGTGTCGCGCTCGTCGTCTGTGCACGGCATCATGGGCCAGACGTACCGCGAGGGCCGCACAGAGCGCGCCATCGACTACGCCATGCTGTCGCGGCTTCTGCGCACTCCCTTCTCCGCCGACGGCGAAAACGGCAAGGGCTTCCTGGACGGCAAGGCCGCGGACTACGAGACGTCAGGAGTGCTCTCCACCGACTGCGGCTTCTCTGCCTTCTCCAAGGCCATGTAAATGCGCTTGACTAGGCATCCCCTAGGAGGATGAATTGGCAGAAACGAAGCTATCTCTTGGGATTAATTGAATTTTGGAATTAATCGGCATTCACGAGGGTCACTACTGTTGTATGCACTTGTGGTCCTCGGCTGTGTGATGAGCTTATTGTTCTGTAAGTAATCCATGTAATTCATTCTTAGTCTTGTAACTGGTCAACAAATATACAAATTGTATAGATTAGCTAGTAACTATTTGCATATAGCCTAGTATAGTTCCTGAAGTGTACAGCCCTATTCTTGTACCCCTCAAACATTTTTCCCCTAGCCATTGATTCTGTAGATAACCTAATATAGTTTCAGAGCTAGGTAGGTTTATGTCGTGGTACTAGGATAGCCCTAACGAACCTCTTCTCTCTCTAGGGAGGGTACTCGGGAAGCTTTCCCTGGGGGAGGGTGGATAAATGGAGTCTAGGGACATCCCTTCTTGTCCAAGTGGTTAGGACATGGTATTAGAGCGATCCAGGGTTCAATCCCTAGTGTACACGCTATTCCATCGGGGGAGTGTGTCGTCGTGGCACTGGGATGCAATATCATATTTGAACATACACAAACATGACATACATGCCTTAGGTCCTAGCCTTCCCCGTCGCCTAGCTCCTAGCCGCCCCACGGGCCCCGCCGCCCCGTTGCCTGGCCCCACGGCCCCGTCCTCTAGCGCCTAGCCGCCCGTGGCCCCGTCACCTAGCGCCTATCCCCCGCGGCCCTGCTCCCCTAGCTCCTAGCCGCCCGTGGCCTCGTCGGGCCCCGTCACCTAGCGCCTAGCCGCCCGTGGCCCCGTTGCCCTGCTACGTCGCGCCTAGTCGCCCGTGGCCCTGCGGCCCCGTCACCTAGCGCCTAACCCCCGCGGCCCCGCTCCCTTATCTCCTAGCCGCCTGTGGCCCCGTCGGCCCCTGTCGCCTAGCGCCTAGCCGCCCGCGGCCCCGTTGCCCCGCCACGTCGCGCCTAGCCGCCCCGCTGGCCCCGCGGCCCCGTCGCCTAGCGCCCAGCCGCCCCGCGGCCTAGCCGCCCCGTGGACCCGTAGCCCAACCGCCCCGCGACCTCATCGTCCAGCCGCCCCGCGGCCCCGTCACCCCTCTGCTCCGCAGCCCCGTCGCCGAACCGCCCCGCGGCCCGTCGCCCTACTGCTCCGCGGCCCCGTCGCCCAGCCGTCTCGCGACCCCGTCGAGCAGCTGCACCGCGACCCCGTCTCCCAGCTGCTCTGCGGCCCCGTCGCCCAGCCGCCCCTCGGCCCCGCCTCCCAGCTGCTCGGCCGCCGTGGTTCCCGGTCCCCGCCCGCCTCACGTGCCCTCTCTACCGTCCTTCACCGCGCCCCACCGTGCCGCACAGCCCGGCACCGCACTGCACCGCACAGTACCGTGCCCCACCGCACTCTACCGTCCAGCACTCCTTCCCACTGTTCCTCGTCGCTCCGTCACCGTCTGTTCGCGGTTGCAGCGGCCCTCATGGCGGACTCGGTGCTGCACTTTGATGCGGAGGGTTAGCCGATTGATTTCGACTCCTAACTAGTCGATCTCCGCCGTCACCTCACTAGTCAGCGGCAGGACGGCCACTCCCTGGCCATTCACATTGACGGTACGCACCTCTGGCCTGGCCCCCCTGTTGCTCTCCCCACTAGCCCCACGTATGCTGACTATGAGTGCGCCGCCACTACTGCCCTTGCCCGTGCTGTCTGGTTGTCGCGTGACGCTGTCGCTCAGCCTGCGATTAACCATGCCCTACCGCTGTCGGAGCGCCCCCGCTTTAAGTTGGTCAGGACTGCGCAGGAGTTCCTAGAGGCTGTTGTCGAGTGTTATTCCACCCCGTCCTCTGCCTCTGCCGGCCGCCTGATCCTTCACATGCCCTTCCCTGATCTCGCGTCTTTCCCCACTGTCAGTGACCTCGCGACGCACCTGCGCACGTTTGACGCTAGTTGGCGCGTTGCCTGCACTGAGGCCCAGCTTCGTGTGTTCCAGCCCCCTATACCTGCTTGCCACCCACCTCCCCGACCGCCTTGCCACTGCCCGCGACCACTTGCTAAGTCTGCACCCCGCTGACCTCACCCTCTCCGACTTTGTTGACACACAGTCTGCCATAGAGACCCGTCATCGCTCTATCGCCCAGTCTAGCGGTACTGTGCCAGTCCCTATCTTTCAGGGTTGTGCTCCCGCCCAGTGCACTTACTCTAACGGTTCTGCGGCTGTAGCTGAGACAGCCCCTGCTGCTGAGACCGCTGCCGCGGTTGCAGCAGCACAGTCCCGTTATGATAAGGCTCGCCGCCCCAAGGCTGGGCACGGCAAGGGTAGTGGAGGAGGGGGTGGAGGTGGTGGTGGAGGTGTTTCGTCCGCTGGCGGTAGTACAGAAGAGGGGGCTGGGGCTGGTGCCTCGGATCACCAGCCCTAGCGGGAGCAGCATCAGGCGCCACAGCTTGAGCAGCAGCACCAGCTGCAGCCACAGCAGTCGCAGCGGAGGGTCAGCCGCCTCCCGCCTGGGTGGCCTGGCGCTGGTGGAGGTGGTGGTGGTGGTCACAGTGGTCGCACGCGTGGCTCGGCATCGGGTGGTGGTGCGAGTGACAGGCGCTGCCAGCACCAGCACGAGACCGGTCCCCGCCGTGGCCTCGTGTGCGGTAAGACCGGTCATACCCTGACTCGGTGTTTCAGTCGCCTGGACGAACTGTTTCGTCTTCGCTTCGCCCTCGTGCACGACCTCCCCGGCTGGCACAGTCTGCTCTGCCGTGGTGTTAGAATATTAGATATGGACATGGATGAGATTAGCTCTACATTGTATGTGTTGTATGTCGATGACTCTAGTGTGACTGGTTCTCATTACCCCATGTTGCCTAGTGTAGGACTCTCCAGTGTGCCTAGTTTACGCTCCCCTGCTGCATCGGATGTAGGACCCTCTGCTTTGTCTAGCCTTGGCTCCACACTAGCTCCACCGCCCCCAGCCGCCACTACCGCGCTCTCCTTCACTCTCAACTCGGGCGCGTCTCGGTGCTTCTTTCGGGACCACACTACGCTTACGTTGCTCGCCGTCCTTGCCACAGTTACCCTTGCAGACTCTTCCTCCGTCCGGTAGTCGCCCATGGTTCCACCACTCTCCCCTGTCCAGCAGTTCCTTCGCACTCTCTTATAGGCCTGCACATCCCCTCGTTCTCTCATAATCTAGTTGGTGTCGGCTGTCTTCAGGATCTCGGCGTCACCACTACGTTCCCTGGTCACGAGAGGTACATTGTCTGTACCGAGGCCGCCACTAGTGCCCCACTCACCACGTTCCCCCGGGACCCGGTGTCTGGCCTGTTCACGCTGGACACCGCGTCCCCCCCAGTTAAGACGCCCCCCCAGGTGGCAGCGTCTACCCATGTTGCTACGGCTTGCTCGTGTCGGTCGCTTACTCACCATTCGCTTCTGTGGCACCATCGTCTCGGTCACCCAGCTCTCACCTGTCTCCGTCAAATGTCTCAACACGGTCTTGTCCTATGTCTCCCTGCATCATTCCCTGCGCTCCCCTCCTCGGCAGCGCCTTCATGCACCCCCTGTGCCGAGGGCCGGCTCTGCCGTGCCCCTCAATCCTCCTCATTCCCCCCCACCACTGCACCCTTACAGACCCTGCACATGGACGTCTGGGGCCCCACCCCCGTCCATGGGCCACGTCGTGAGCGTTACTTCCTAGTGCTTGTCGACGACTATACTCGCTACACCACCGTGTTTCACCTAGAGCGGAAGGCCGACGTGCCTGATCTTCTTATCCCATGGCTTTGTCTCTGCGTGTGTGCACCGAGGTCTCCCTGTGTTGCGTCTTCACTCCGACCGTGGTGGCGAGTTCGTCTCTGGCTGCCTCGATCGCTTCTTTCGTACGGAGGGCATCACCCAGACGTACACCCTTCCGGACTCCCTGCAGCAAAATGGGGTCGCTGAGCGACACCTCGGTTTGGTCATGGAGGTAGCTCGTACCTCCATGATCCATGACGGTGCACCCCATTTTCTGTGGCCGTTCGCCGTTCGCTACGCTGCTCACCAGCTTAACATGTGGCCGCACCCTTAGAGGCCGCAGGTTTCGCCGACCCTTCTCTGGACCGGGTCTCCTGGTGACGCGTCCGCGTTCCACGTCTGGGGCTGCCTTGCTCATGTTCGTGCCTTTGGCACGAACAAGCTTACTGCCCGCACTGTCCCCTGTGTCTTTCTTGGTTTCCCCCTCGACTCGTCTGACTAGCACTTCTACTACTCGCCGTCTCACCGTTTCTTTCACTCTCGCAACGTCACCTTTGACGAGTCAGTTTCCTTCTACCACTGCTTTCCCCACCGTGGTCCCCCGGTCACTCCCTCCCAGTTCCTTGTTCCCCCCTCTCTCTCGGTCGCCCCTGCTCCTCCCCCTCCCGGCCCTGCCCTGCCCCGTCTGGTGTGTCTCACGTCACCCCCCTCCCGTCGGTTGTCCCTGCCGAGGGGTCTGCTGACTCTCGCGGCTTGGTGGAGTCCCGTCCCCCGCCTGTCCCCGCCCCGGTCTCTCCTCACCTTTTGCCGCTGTTGCTGTTAGAGCCGCAGCCGCCTCCGTAGCTGCCGTCGCCGCAGCAGCTTGAGCCGCCGTCGTCACCGCCGCTGGGGTTTGTGCGTTATGGGGGTGCTGGGGAGCGTGCCGGGACAGGTACTGGAGCGGGTTCCCGTTCTGGGGGTGCTGGCGTGGGGCTTCTTGGAGGGAGCCATGGCCCTGCTCTAGTGTTGGCGTCGGGCAGCAGTCGTCGCCGTCGCTGCCGGTGTCCGCTCTTCGCCTCCTCGGCCTTCCTTCTCCTGACCGCCAGCCCATGCCTCCTCGGTCGCCACCGACTCCTCTTCTGCCGGTCTACAGCCTTGTTTTTCCTCCAGTGGACTCTTCTCCGGCTCGTTTCCCTCCTCGTTCTCCTCCTGTGTCTCCTCCCCTCTCTCCTGACGCGACTTCTCCGTCTCACGTCTGGGCTCGTCGTCCTTATGATGTCCAACACAAACCAAGTTCATGGCAAACATGGGGATATGCATGCCGGTAAAGGAGCCGAACGATGACAGGGGAGGGTCGTGGTTCTGCGGGCGATGACTGTGGTAGGCGATTCTGCGAGGGAGGCTGGTATTGGTGCAAGAAGTGGTGTGAGAGCAGTGTGATCTCAGAAGAGGCGGTGAGACACGCCAGAGTCGGGTGTGAAGAAGAGGGCCATAGCTGCAGGGGCCGACAAGGAGCCTAGACTGCACACAGCAGAGGATCCTAGACTACACACAACCGAGGATCATAGATGTTTCACATCAAAATAATATGAGTCAGCAATATTATCATCGTTAAAGTACAAAGAAAACATTGCAGAGCCTATATGAGCCATTTCTAAATCACATACCAGGACACAGCTGGGGATCAGGGCAGGCCTGTCCAACGGGCCCACCAGGGGCCCAAAGTGGCCGCAGAAGAGGTCGTCCATGCGGTGGAAGCAGCAGGTGGCCGTGTGGCCCGTGCGCCCATAGATCGTGTCACGCACGGGGCAGGTCTGGATTTGGAACACACAGTGCATGGGACCCCCAGGCTCCACGCCAACCTGGCCCACAGAGGATCAACGCGAAACCCACAGCAGCGATTGCGCCGGGGCCCAACCACCACGGCCTGCACCACGCCTAGCACTCCCAAGGCCCATCGGCCCCCACTGTGGCTGCTGCTGCTGTGGTGGTGGCTGCTGCCACTGAGGCTGCTGCTACTGCTCCTGCTTTTGCGGCTGCTATTGCTCACCATCCTCCTCCGTACCTGCCCCTCCGCTAGTGCCCGGTGTCCCGCCAGCCCCCCCACCACCCTCCGCTGCCGAAGCCCCACGACCACGACGGCGCCGCGAGTGCCTAGTAGAGTGGTTGGGTGCAGTGACCGCCGCGGTGGTCTCAGCGACAGAGGCGAAGGCAGCTGGGACAGGGAGTTGGGGCGGAGAGCAGCCCATAATGAAAGGGGGCGCCATCGCGCCAGTGGTCTGTGCTATGGCACGGAGGCAGGTCTCTATCTACGCCAGGGGGGTAGAGAAGAGGTCGATAGCGAGCTAAATGGAGTGTAGTGCGAGGAGAGCATCGCACGCAGGGGCGAGGCGGTCACGGAGGCGGGTGGTGAGGAGGTAACAGGTGACGTAGATGGGTGGGGTGTGCTTGGCAAGCTGGGCTTTGGTGCACACCGCACGAAAGCAAGTCTCGAGGGAGCGTAGGTGTGCGACGAGATCTGCCACCATGGAGAAGGGGGCTAGGTCAGCGAAGAGGAATGGGAGGAGGAGGGGGCCGAGGGTGGCGGACAAGGTCGAGAAGCGGGCGGCAAGCGTGTTCCTGAGGGCCTGAACGGTCTCCTCCGACTCAAAGTGGGAGTGCTCGTTGACCGGCAAGCACCGAGTGATGGCGACCTGCGCGGCGGCGTTACGAGACTCCCAGATAGAGCAGGCGGTCAGGGCCGCTGTGTAATCCTCACGCTGCGCTGACGTCGCCTCGGGGCGAAGGGGATCAGAGCAGGGGGGGGCAAGCAGCTCACTAGTGATATGGGCCGCCAGCGACTCGCCCTCCAGACGCTAGCTCAGCAGCTGCCGGCGGAGAGAGGAAAGCCGGGCCGTGAACCCGATCACTCAGCCCTCGGCGTCCAGCCGAAGAACGAAAAATGACACCGACGAGGCCGCCATGTCGGCAGGAGAAACAGACACAACACGAACCCGGACAGGGGTCGGTGTCAGCAGGGGCGGCACACGGCGACAGCGGCGGCGGTGGTAGAGTTGGCGGCAGGTCTAGTGACAGCTTTGTCAGCAGGCGGTTAGGAGCCACCAAACAAGGAGTCGGGCACCGGTGACCCTCGGCAAGCGATGGCGCCAACGGCTGCAATGCAGGTGGGTGGGGCGGCAGTGGCTGTGCCAGTGGTTGCAGCTGTGGCACCGGCGGCGGCAGCGGCAGCTGCGGCTGCATTTGCGGTGGGCAGCTGTGACTGCACTGGCAGCGGCTGCAGGTGCGGCGGAGGATGCACTGGCAGGTGCAGCTACGGCTGCAATGGCAGTTGCGGTTGCAGCTGCAGCAGTAGCGGCGGGCTGTCGGCTGTAGCAGCAGCGTTAGAAGCAAGCAGCGGGTGGCAGGCAGCTGGGGGCTGCTCTGGCGGCTGGCGGCCGCGGCAGCAGCGCTGGCGGAAAATCCTATCACCAAGGCACTGCTTGGTTTCTTGCATCCATGTCATGAAATTTCATCCACACCACATCATCCCTTCTGTTGAGAAAAAGCCCTTAGATCTTTCCAGATACTAAGTCCCACATGTACAAGATGCTTGAGTAGTGCAGCGGAAGTATCGAGTAGTTGAACCCTTGCACTAGTATGTGAGAGCAAGTGATTGATTAAAAAGGGAAAGCATACATAAATATATAGAAAGAAGGGAATAAAGCAGTTGTAGAATACAGTTGAATAAACGGTTATCGAATCGCACAGCGACTCGATCGTTGGTTCGGTTTACCACCCTTGCAGTCGCAACGGTCAGTTGCAACCTCCGGTTGCAACCCTTCATGTCCCTTCGTCCTTCGTGTTCTTTCGTCCAACCTCCTCGTGTAACCTCCGTTGACTCGTGTACTCGATACGACTTTTCTTCGAGTGTAGTGTTACACTTCAGAATCGCTAAGTCTTTGAGGTGTTTCCAACACCCTCCCTTTCTGCACTGCATCATCACAGGCCCTACTACCGTAAGCCAGACCCTTCCACACCCTCAGAGACCCAACACTGTGCCACAAGGACCTAGATTCAACAGCGTGAGTGTCAGTTGAGTTCAGTACAGTAAACGTCTACACTACACTCTAGTCTTCGCCATAAAAAAGAGCACGTCCCAATCAAGTGAACCCCAGCCTCGCCCTTTAATCACTTCTGTTTCAGTCCTGCACACGTGTTACCAGCCCTACAGTACGTCTGTGTTAGCCTACTGGCAACTGCTGAAGTAATCACCCTCCAAGAACAAGACGGATGCGTGGCTCCTGGTGTGCAGCACAAAGATTGATCGAGAGCAGCGCTCTACAGCGGCAAGCTCAGAGATTATGCTTAGACGCAGTTAGAGACGAAGAGAGAAGACGAGAAGATGGGATGGGATGGGATGGGATGGGATGGATGAGATGGGCAGGTAGAGTCAAGAAGAGTCAGCAGCAGCATTCCGTGCTGCTGCTGTGTAAGTCTGTAAGCAGCAGCGACAGCACCCTCCCTCAAATGGCAACAGCACCCGCCAACAGCAGCAGCACGTCTTCTAGCTTCAATGCTTCAGCTGACAGTGCCCTGCCCCACAGAGCATCACTGCAGCACATTGCACTTCTCTCTCCTCTCCACCTGGCCCCTCCCTCGCACACCGTATCTCCTCCCCAACCCATCCCCCTCCCCTTTCAACACTTACCCCATCCTATAGTCCAGAGCCGGGACTCCCCCTAGCAGAATTTCCACCGGTTTTGGCAGTGCAGGCAAGTGACATACGTGGTCATGGGCTCGTCCGCACTCCTCGTCTGCATCTGGAAGTACGTGGTCTTCCGCTGCCCACATTTCCCACACTTGAACATGTCCGTGGTCGCGCCCACCGTCTGCCCGCGCATAGCCTCCCACGTCTTCTTCTTCTTCACCTCGTCGTTCTCGCGCCGCCGCGCGTCGCTCGCCATCTCCTCGGGGGGCATCACCGCCAGGTCCACAGCCGACACGTCGCCCAGCAGCACGCGCCGCCGCAGGTCGGGGTTGGAGGGGTCCTTGAGGTTGAACGAGATGGACCGGAACTTGTTCTTGTAGTCCTGGGTATAGGGGCGGGGAAGTGGGGGAAGTTGGGAGCGGGGCTTGAGTGAGTGGGTTGAGTTGTGAGGCGCCTCAAGGCCGGATTGGAGGGACGTTTGAGGCTGACCGGGATGGACGGAGCTTGTTCTTGAAGTCCTGTTGCGCCAGCGATGGAGAAGTAGCAGGGGGGAGTGCGGGGGGTCGGAGCAGGAGTTGAGTGACTTTGGTTGTGAGTATGGGAGTTGGAGGGGTCCTTGAGGTTGGGCGAGAGGGACCCCACCTTGTTCTTGTAGTCCTTTGGGCACGCACGATGGTGGTGAGTGCGGGTGGGGAGAGATTGGGGGTGGGGCTTTAAAGTTTTTGAGTGGATGCAGTTTCATGTTGGAGGGGTCCTTGAGGTTGAGGAGACACGACACGACCAGCCCTTGAAAGGGGGAGGGAGGGAGGAGCCCAACGGAGAACTGGCGGGAGTAAGGGCGTGTATCATGTGCAGGAAAAATGACGTCACCCGACGTCCCAACGGGGCACAGTACGTTTTCGCGCGATTGAGAGGTTGGCTGTGCGTTTGGAAGCGGTGACTCGACGTCAAACCGTGACGTCGTGCTGTTCCAGCTACTTGATGCACCCCCTAAGGATGCTAAGGATGTCAAGGGTAGTGTGGTGGGAGGGATCGCCTTCAGCTCTCCCCGAACCCCCCTGCCCCGTTCTGCCTCCCCCCTTTTCTCACCTTGAGGCCCTTGCTGGCTCCGCCAAACTTGCACCACAGCTCTTTTCACAGTGCCTTAAAAAAAAACTTGTGGACCGAAGCAATTTCTGAGGCGGCTAAAAAACCCTCCCGTGGCTCACCTCACAGCACCAAGGGCCACAGCTCTATATGACGCGCCCCAAGCCACCACCCCCCTCCGTCTCTCGCACCTTGAGGTCCTTGGCATTGCCGTACTTGCGCCACAGCTCCGTCTCCACCTCAACCGCCACACCTGCGTCTGAGACGACTCAACAGCAGCAGGCGCGCTAAACCGCTCTGCCTCTCCCCTCCCTCATCTTGAAGCCCTTCCTTTGTGCTGTCAGGGTGTACTCCCCTCCCTTCGCCTCGCTCACCTTGCGGTCCTTGGTGTTGCCATTCGTGCGTTCTGTTTTCGAGTATTCTAAAAACCACAGCACATCCTCACCTTGAGGTCCTTGGTGTTGCCGTACTTGCGCCACAGCTCCGTCTCCACCTCAACCGCCACGGCCGCCACGTCCACCTCGCGCGCGCGCTGCTCCTCCTCCCCGTCCACCTCCCCCGCCACCAGGCACAGCGCCTGGAGCACCGCCTCCCGCGGCCGGTCCCTCATGGCATCGCCCGTCTTCACTAGTACCTTCACCTTGAACGGCGCTGCGTCCTTGCGCTTCCCTATCTCCTTCCCTGCCTCCTTCCCTGACTCCCTCCCTTTCCCCCCGTCTCTGTCTTTCACCCCGTTTCCCGCGCCCCCCCTGTCCTCCCTCCCGTCGCCGCCCCCCCGCCCCTCCTTCCCCCTCTCCTTCCCCCCGTCCGCTCTGTCCTCCGACTCCCCCGACCGCTTCCCCTCGCCTCCCTTCCCCTCCCGCTCCCCCTCTTTCCTCCCCCGTTCCTGCTCCTTCTCCCCCCCGCCTCCCCCTCCGCCCCCCCGCGCCTCCGCGGCCACGACCTGCTTCCACTGCTCCACCAGCTTCCCCGCGCCCTTCTGGATGCCCGCGCACGCGTGCTTCGTCAGCTTGCGGACCAGCTTGCCCATCTGCGCGCGGCACGCGGAAGGAGGGGGGGAGTGGACGGCGGGGAATGGGTGGGGGAGGGAGGAAGGAAGGGCGGAAGGAGCGGAAGCGAGAGAAAGCGGGAGAGTGGGGGCGGGAGGCGCGGAAGCGCGTTTCCGCCTAAGCGCGTCAGCGCGACCCCCCACGTTGTCGTCAAGCACGCGGAGCTGAGCGGCCGCGCAACCTAGAAGCGACGCACGCGCGGGCGGGTAACAGGCTATCCCCGCAACACAAATGCCGCCCATTCTTCATCCACCAAACAGCCGCACAGGTAATCCCACTGTCCTCGTGCGCTGTTATCCCGCCTGTTCTCCCTGTCCCCTTTCGTATGCACTGTCGGCGATCGGCTATTGGCTATCTTAGCGCCACTCCACACCCTCGGCGTCACTCCGCTCCGCTTCAAACCTTCCCCCCCCTCTCCCCAACCCGAAACCCACCAAAGTTAAAGAGACAACGAACCCAAGGAGGTCGACTCACCACGCCCGACCGCGCGACAATGCACGCAACCCGGGCGTCACGCTGGGAATACAACGAGTATGGGGCGGGGACAGACGGATAACGAAGAAAGAAGTGCGAGTCGCACTCGCGCGCGAGCACTCGTGCGCGCACCAGTGCGAGAAAATAATGTCAATGCCGATGGTGCATCTCGTCGAGTCGCACCTGCGTTTCCATGAGAATCTCCGTGCTGACGCGGCAGTCCGCCATTTGCGCGAGGAGGTCCAGCGCGCGGTCCTCGTCGGCCGGCGAATCCGCCGCCTTTCCCGCCGCGCTCTGCAGCTTGTCATAGAGCTCTAGCAGCTCCTTGCCGCGCGCCGACTTGGCCATGCTGCCTGCACCGAAATACTCGATCCTAGCCTTTCTGCTCCACCGGATACTGGCTTTTAAAGCCTTTCTGCTCCTGCTGCTGCCGACCCTGATTCGAAATGTATCTGCAGCCGCTACAGCTGCTGTTGCTGCTGCTACAGCTGCCGCCGCCGCTGCTGCTGATGCTACTGATGTGGCTACCCCCTTGTCTCTGGGTCGATGCTTTATCTGGGAGGGAAGTCGAGCGGATCAGGCCAGCGGGAAGGATGCGCAGCCGTGTCACGAGCAGCTGCTTGACGCGACTCGGAAACAAGATTGCGATCGCCTCGCGGAGCGCCGCGGCGCAAGCAAGCGCAGCGACGGAGTGAGCAGGACGGTTCTTGCACGACCAGTGAGACGAGGCAGGTCGGGAGGCCGAGGGCGGTTCTTGAACGACAAAGCGCGCTCGCTGGAGAAACTAAGAGACTACTAGTTCACCTGAAGCAAGCACGACGTCAGGTGCACGCGCTCCGGTTTGGCGCAGCGTGGCGTGGAGGGAGGCAGCCCTGTGTCACAGGGAGCCAGTGCGGTGAATGCGGCGGTGATGGAGGTGAAGCGAAGTGCGAGGTGAAAAGGAGTGGCGTGGCGGCTAGTGGTGGTGTGAATAGGGCTGGACTCTGGAGAGAGTTGAGGCGAGACTCGAATCTCGATCGAAACGAGAATTGACAGGGTGTTGGTTGGGGGAGACTTTTCGGTTCAGGGTGTTTTCTCCTCATACTGGAAAAACATTCTCCAGGGGTTTAGGGCATGTGAACCTCCCCCCCTTTCCCACCCCCTCTACCCTCCAGTGAACGGGAGAAATTTCAAAAACTGACTTTAAAAAAAACATACAGTTCACGCCTTCGTGACAGATGGAGACTTCGGGCAGCCGCCTCCTGTGTTGTTTCTGAAGTACCAATCCCACAGCGGTTTTTGCTTGTGAAGGTGCCCGGGAAACGCAGGAGCTGGACCAAAGAACGACGATCCGATGCGGATGAAGAATGGTTATGAACGGCTTAGATTAGGCCGCCGAAGAAAAAGGTCTGCCAAGGGCGGATTTGTGTGGTTCTGGTTTGGAGGGACAAAGCAAGTCTTCTAGAATCATGGTGTCGTCTCATACCCGCTCCGATATGCAGTATGGCATAGCATGTTCACACACGCTGTAGTGAATAACGTTATGCTCGTATTCTAGTTTCACTTCATTATTGACACGACTTGCTTGTCCCCAACGAGTCCGACGCGGCTTGGCTGGACCTCGTTACAAGGGTACCACGACGCGGGAGTCTGCTGGTTCGGCACGTCATCAAACCTAGGTCGAGATTCGGCAGCCCATTTGAACCTCCTTAGTCACCTCCAAACCTGCCTTCCGCACGGATATCACCCCCTAGATACGCCCACAAACGGAGGGCGAACCTCCAGGCTCGGTTTCCCAAAGCTCAGCCAAACCGAACCAGAATTTAGGTGAAGGAAACCTGGGGCTTGCCGTGCCGTACCTCCCCTCCTCCTAGGTTTTGCCCCCAGCTACCCCCACTCCCCTGCCTTTCGTCTTCCCCCACACCTCGTCCTTCTCCTTCCCGCTTGTTTTCTTCCCCCCTCACGAAACCCCACTACTAGTAGCTAGCACCATTCTCGCTCCGTGCATTATCATCATTTCTGTTTGTTTTGTTGGAACCGTACTTACACTCCTGGTTGAGGGATACCACTAGCTGCAGGTTGCTGAGCATCTGTCCTCCCCACCAAGGTAATAGGAGCATATTGTTTGAGTTAGCGATTCAGTGTGCGGAGTTGCGGTCATTTTCCAGTACTCCTTCCTTTGTGCTGTTAGTTCGCCGTCGTCAACCCGGCAGTTTGACCTAAAGTGCTGGCGAGGCGGTCACCGTCGAAGCAAACAATAACGTTGTAGGGCCTCTGGCTTTGGCGCTCTCAGCCTTTCTCTCAAATATCGTCTATGTTTTTCCACGGGTCTGGTTTCAAGCTTTCCCGTACAGCTGCCGCATTTGACAACGCGAGTTTCCTCCATGCATGAGAGTGTGTGCATTTCGCATCCGATGCACCTCGTGTCGCGCCTTCGTAGCCTCATGTCCGCAACCTCGAGCTCATGAGTGTCAGGCCTTTTTCGTCCGCTTGGGTGGTGAAGCCTTTTCTTTCCGGTTGCTGATGTTTGTATCATGCCTACGGACCTGTTACCCTCGACCAATGTCGACGCACGCTAGTATGAAGTTAACACTGGCTATTTTTGTTATTTTCTCCTTTCCCGTGGTGATCAACGCACAGGTTTCAAGAGCGTTAGTACTTTCAGTCGCATCGACTGCTGTAAGGTGAGCACGCGATTTTTTACGTTGCCTCAGCGATCGTCAGCCGCTTTGGGACATTTCGAAACGCCTGTAGCACACATTCCGTTAGGGTTCAGTTTCCGTCCGCGAAGCCTCTCAGTGGTCCGAGCTACGCCATTATGTGCCACAGAGCAGCGTGACGTGACGGAGCGTGAGAGAATGACGGAAATGGCATTGGGTGTGCGATAGGAGATTAGGAGTAACTGCATTCTGCTAGCAATCGGGGGGAGAGGCGGTAGGCAATGAGTGGCGAGGAGTGGAGGAAATATGTCGGAGTGGAGGAGAAACGTTTTCTAGTGGAGGTTGGGAAGGAGCTGGAGCAGCTTCTGTTGGAGCATGGCACGTATTAACTCGCCTGCGCTTACCCCTCACTCTCGCGTGGCCATTGCCTTACCAATGCTTGCGGGCGTGTTTGCTTACTTATTTAAACGTCTCCCATGCTTTGCGGGCGTGTTTGCTTACTTATTTAAACGTCTCCCATGCTTTGCGGGCGTGTTTGCGTTGTGTGCAGAACGTACCACTCCCAGGTCTCAGTCGACGAGTTTCCTCGCCTGCCCTCGTAGCAGTTCAGCAGTCTCTCTCTTCGATCCAACCTGGTCCATCTACCCTACGGTCGTCTCTCACCTGATAGCTAGTAGTTCAGCATCCTCACACACGCGTAGGCCTTCCTTTCGTCGTCTGTAGATGGGGTTAGAGACGCCACAAGAGCTGGAGCAAGCGGGCGGTAGGGAAGCGTCAGGGCACCCCGCACTAGGCGCGGGACCCAGCGCAAACCAGTCGGGGGGAGGGGTGCCGCACCCGGCGAACGCGGAGGCGAAGGCGGAGATGGACGCGGACGAGGCGGCGCGGGAGAAGCAGAGGAGAAAGCAGAGCTCGACGGGGCAGGTGATGGAGGTGCCGCCCATGGACGAGTACTTGTGCCCCATATCGGGGGACGTTATGGAGGAGCCCGTTACAATCGCGTCGGGCCACACCTTCGACCTCAAGTCCATTCAAAAGTACTTCGAAGGTAAGCGCGCGAGCGCGCGAGCGGGCGAGCGTGGGTTGGTTCAATCGCGGGGGGAAAGATAGATCACGGGAGGGTGGCTGTTAGAAAGAATGGATGGAGGTGCGTGGGTTGCGCGGGAGAAGCAGAGGAGAAAGCAGAGCTCGACGGGGCAGGTGATGGAGGTGCCGCCCATGGACGAGTACTTGTGCCCCATATCGGGGGACGTTATGGAGGAGCCCGTTACAATCGCGTCGGGCCACACCTTCGACCTCAAGTCCATTCAAAAGTACTTCGAAGGTGCGCGCGCGAGCGAGCGTGGTTGACTCGTCAAGGAGCGAGGATGGGTCTCCGGTGGTATGGGATGCTGCGTGGATTGCGGGGAATATGTGGAGACGATGGGGCTTAGAGGTTAACGGGAGGAGTTGGCTAGAGATCAATGAGGCTACATTGCCGTACACTCTCGGCTGGTTTTTGTCGCAACGCTTTCCTCGCGATAGCGCTTGCCGATGGGAGCGGAGCACTTGCGTGTCTGAAGAGCGGGAGAGAATCGTTACCTTTGCGCCTGCTTCTCTGCTCTTTTCTCTATGGCCCAATCGCCGTTTTCAAAGCCCGAATGGCATTCTGGTCCCTGGCGTACAACCGCCCTACGCTAACCGCCATGCCACCCACGGCCCGCTTATCAAACCGTGCCATCCTACCACTGACTCCCGCTCCCGTCTCTCCCTCGCTGTCTCTGCCCCCCTCACTCTCCTTCCCCCCAACCCTCCCCCCCGACACGCGCGCAGAGGGCAACAAGGACTGCCCCATAACGCACGAGCCCCTGGAGAACTTCGACTTGGCGCGGAACGAGGATATGGCGCGGTCCATCGAGGAGTGGCGCGCGCGCAACACGGTGATGCGCATCCAGGCCGCGCGCCCCAAGCTGCAGTCCGCCAAGGAGGAGGAGGTGGAGGGGGGCCTGCTGGAGCTGTTTCAGCTGTGCGAGGAGCGCGCCACCAACCGCTACTGGGTGGCGGCGGAGGGGTTGATTCCTGTGGTTGTGAATTTGCTCAAGTCTAGTAGCCGCAACCTCAGACGGAAAACGCTTGCGACGCTCGCGAACCTCGCGAATGGGAATGACGAGAACAAGGTGCGGGGTGGGCTTTTGGTGTGTGTGTGCCGGTGGTGGGGGTGGGTGGGGGGGCGGCCGGCGGGGGGACTGCCTCCAATCCCTGCCCGCCCCCTCCCCATACCGTCTCCGCAGGATCTGATCGCTCACGCAGGCGCAATCCAGCTAGTGGTCCGCTCGCTTTGCGGCGGCTCAAATCTAGAACTGATCCTTTCCCCACTCCCTCCCCACTCCCTCCCCACTCCCTCCCCACTCCCTCCCCACTCCCTCCCCACTCCCTCCCCACTCCCTCCCCACTCCCTCCCCACTCCCTCCCCACTCCCGCCCCCTCAGGAGCTCGTAGTAGACACAGGCGCGATCCAGCGGTGCGCTCCCTGTCGCGTGACGTGGGCGAGAACCGGCAGGGCGTGGCGCTGCTGCTGGAGCTGTCCAAGAGCCCCAAGACTTACCAATCCATCCCGACTCTCTTCCCTCGCCCTCCCCACTCCCTCTTTGTAGGAGCTCGTAGGAGACGCAGGCTCCATCCAGCTCGCCGTGCACTCGCCTTGACGTGCCTTAAAACCAGGATTGACCAGTCCCTCTCTTCACCTCCCTCCCTCCCCCTCAGGAGCTGGTGGTAGACGCGGGCGCGATCCAGCTGGCCGTGCGCTCTCTCTCGCGTGACGTGGGCGAGAGCCGGCAGGGCGTGGCGCTGCTGCTGGAGCTGTCCAAGAGCCCCAAGGTTTGCGAGGAGATCGGGCGCGCGCAGGGCTCCATCCTGCTGCTCGTCACCATGCTCAACAACGAGAACGCCAATGCGGCGAAGGATGCCGCGGCCGTGCTGCAGCAGCTCGCGAGTAATGATCAGAACGTGGTGCAGATGGCCGAGGCCAACCACTTCAAGCCGCTCGCAGAACGGCTCAGCACAGGTACGCCCTTGCTCAGGTACGCCCTTGCTCAGGTACGCCCTTGCTCAGGTACGCCCTTGCTCAGGTACGCCCTTGTTCAGGTACGCCCTTGTTCAGGTACGCCCTTACTCTCTTGCACGTGTGCTGTCTCTGGTGTGCGGCCCACTCGTTCTCCGTTTCTTTCCCAATCTGCCCATCACCCTCACGGTCCTCTCAAGCCCCTCACTCCACCTCTTTCCCCTCCGCCTCTTCCCTCTCCTTCCCCATCTCCCTTCCCTGTGTCTTTACCCACCTCCCTCCCCATACCATCACCACACTCCTCTCCCTTCTCTCCCCCCCCCCCCCTCCCCCCGTCTTCTCCCAGGGCCCGATATGACAAGGCTCCTGACGGCGTGTGCCCTTTTGAGTTGACTCAAAAGCCCCCTCCCCCCTTCCTCTCCCAGGGATATGACAAAGCTCCTTATGGCGTGTGCCATTTCCGCCTGCATGCCGTTCACGGACGAGAGCTAAGAAGTGCTGGTGCAGCAGGGCGCCATTCCCCCCCTCGTCACCATCTCACCATCCCACTTCTCCCCGTCTTCTCCTCCTCCCCCTCCCCCCCCCCCCACCCCAGGGTCGGACATGACCCGGATCGTGATGGCGAGCGCCCTGTCCCGCACGTCTATTTTTTAGGCGCCTCAAAAATCTCCCCCCCCTCCTCCCCCCTTTCGCCCCCACCCCAGGGTCCGACATGACCCGGATCGTGATGGCGAGTGCTCTGTCCCGTATGTCGCTCACGGACCAGAGCAAGGCGGTGCTGGTGCAGCAGGGCGCCATTCCCCCCCTCGTCACCATGATCGCGTCGGGCAAGCTTGAGGCCAAGGCGGCGGCCCTCGGGGCCCTCCAGAACCTCTCCTCCCTCGCCGCCAACCGCAACGAGCTCATCCGCGCGGGGGTCGTGCCCCCCCTGCTGACCCTGCTCTTCTCTGTCACGTCCGTGGTGATGAGTCTCAAGGAGGGGGCGGCGGCGATCCTCGCGAATATCTCCATGGCGGCTGGTGCGCAGGCGGAGACGAGGATTGATGCGAATGGGGCGATTCTGGAGTCGGAGGAGACGATTTTCCAGCTGCTCTCGCTCATGAACCTGGCGGGGCCGAACATCCAGGTGAGGCACTTGTAGACCTTTTCTTGGCGCCTCACTAGGAGCTTGGAGTTGGAGGAAATGATTTCCAGCTGCTCTCGCTTGTAAACCTGGCGGGGCCGAACATCCAGGTGAGGCACTTGGTTGGTAGTTTTTTTCTTGGCGCCTCACAAGGAGCCTGGACAACCCCCTCGCTTGTGTGTCCCCTCTACCATGCTGTCGACCATTCTCCCACATACCAACCCCCTCCTCCCTCCCCTTCCCCGGCCGCCCCCCTCCCCGCCCCCAGCCCCCCCAGTGACGCAAGCGCGCAGGAGAAGCTGCTTAAGGCGCTGCTGGGCAGGGCGTCCGTGCCTCAGTCCATGGAGGTGCCGCGTGTCCCCTTTACCCTGCTGTCAAACCCCCTCCCCCCCTCCTCCCCCCCCCCCCCCCCCCCCCCCCCAAACCCAGGTGAATCTGCTGAAGGCCCTGCTAGGCATGGCGTCGGTGCCGCAGTCGATGGAGGTGCGCAACCGCATGATCGTGGGCGGCGCCGTGGACGTGCTAATCCCCTTCATCGACGGCTCCGAAGGGGTCAGTGCTGCCACTTTGTGCCTGCTGACTGGGCGGGCTTGGGTGTTGCGTGTTGGGTGTTGAGGGTTGATAGTTGGGGATGCTTTAGAGTCGACTGAAAGCGCAACCGCGTGATCGTGGGGGGCACCGTGGACGTGCACTTCCCCTTCATCGACGGCTCTGAAGGGGTCAGTGCTGCCCGCTGGGGTGCTTGGCGATTGTGTGTTGGGTGCTGGGTATTGAGTGTTGAGTGCTGGTACCCTCACGTGCGATACTCTCACGTACCCGCCCTTCCCCTCATCGTCTCCCCCTCGTTTACCTCAAATTGTCGCCCCTCACCCCACCGCACACTGTATTATCAGGGTCTGGCGACGCGCCCCTTGGCGGCGAGGTTGTCGCCCCTCACCCCACCGCACACTGGTATCAGGGCCCAGCGATGCAGCCCCTGGCGGCGAGGGTGTTACGGGAGCTGTCAAAGGAGCCGGAGACAGGCAAGAGCGTGGCAGACAGCCTCATGGAGGGAGGAGGGCGCTCTCAATACCTTCTGTGCTGCCCCTCTCCCTCCTCCCCTCCCTCCTGCCCCCCGCCCTCCTTCCTTTACCCTGATCTGTGGGGCCCCTACCGCACCCTAACATCAGGGTCCTGCAACGCGCCCCCTGGCGGCGAGGGTGCTGCGGGAGCTGTCAAAGGAGCCGGAGGCGGGCAAGAGCGTGGCGGACAGCCTCATGGAGGGGCAGGGCGCGGCGCTCAAGGCCATCATCGCCATGCTGCAGGACAAGGATGCGCACGACAACCGTGCTGCCGCCGCGTCGCTCATTGCGGCTCTGCCGCCTAGCGATGCGAAGCTCAACCAGGCTCTTGTGCAGGTGGGTGGGTCAGAGAGGGCTGCTTTGAGTCGACTCAAGAGCGGCGCTCAAGACCATCATCGCCATGCTGCAGGACAAGGGCATGCCCGATAACCGCCTAGTGACACCAAGCTGAATAGGGCTCGTGTGCAGGTGAGTGGGTGCGTGTGTGCACATGTGTGTGTGATGATTTCGTGTGTGCATGGGCATGGTGGTTTTTTTCGTCCCCGCCTGAAGGCTCTGAGGCCTGTACAACACATGCTTTTTGAGGCGCCTCAAAAATGGTTTTTTGAGGCGCCTCAAAAATGGTTTTTTTCGTCCCTGCCTGAAGGCTCTGAGGCCTGTACAACACATGCTCCACAACATGTGCCCATTCTATTCCCCTCCCCTCCTTTTTCCCGCTCCCCTCCCCCTCCTCCCACTCTCTTCCTCCCCCTCATCCCACTCTCTTCCCTCGCCTGCTCTCCCCCAGTCTCTGTGCGGCAGGCGGATGTGGTGCGGACACAGGTGAGGACGATGCTGGGCATGAGGGGGGGGGCGTCTGAGGCCCTGCAAAGCACATCTGCATGACCCGCTCTCTTTCTCCCTCCCTTCCTCCCTCTCTTCCGTCCACTGCTCCCGCCCCCTCTACTCACCGCAGGCGGATGTGGTGCAGACACTGGTGGCGATGCTAGGAATGAAGGGCGGCGGGGTGGGCACCAACGCGCAGCTCAAGGACGCGGCCTTGGAGGGAGCTGCCAACGCCCTCGTGCGCTTCACTCTCCCCAGCAAGTAAGCCCCCACCTGCCTCACTTCCCCTGCCACAGCCCCGACCTCCCACTCGCTTACTCTCACTGCAGCACCCTCCCCCACTCACCCACTCACCCACCCACCCACCCACCCACGATTGCCTCTTCACCTCGCCCATTCATGGCTGCGTTCTGCAGGCAAAAAACGAAAGTGCAGATTACATCAGTGCACCTTCGGAGAACGCTAATTTTTTCCTCGGATAGAGGGTCAGCCCGCAAAATTTCCCCCCAAACCTGGAACAACGTACCCGAACCTAGTTACATCGACATGCCTGCAGAACAGGTCCAGGTACAGATGACATCAACGTCAGGGAAACAACCCCCCTTGCTTCCCTCTCTGGCAAATCTGACACAGACTTGATGCAACGCTGACGTTTGCTCAATCGCAGAGTCCACGTTGCATTAAGCTTTGCATCCGCCTCAGGGGTGTACTAGGCCTCCACACCCAAAAAAACGCGTCAGCATGACCCCGCCCTGCCAGAATTGGCTTGCCCTTGCCAAAAAAAAACAATCGATCCAACCCACCGTAGAAACACCAGCAGCACAAATCCATCGTGCTGGAGATTGTGGGTGCATCTCCCCAAACCTAGTTATTTGTTTCGCCCTGTTATTACCTCCTGATCATACTCATTTACCCTTGGGCAGTGGGTATCTGTTGCCGAAATATGAAATCGCTCCTATCTCAATTTCGCGAATGGTTTCCGCAATTTGCTCATGGCTTCCAAGGGAGGCTCGGTAAAGCCCGCAAGCTTGGGTGGTAACCAGTGCTCGCGAAATCGCACCTGGAGTTTCCTGATTGTCGACGTCGACGTCAACGTCAACGTCAAGTGCCTAGAGAACTCGGCCCATGTGTCTTCCTTTCCCGTCTCTCGTCCCCCCCCTCCCCCCCCCCAGCATCAAGCAGCAGCAGCAGCTGGCGGAGCTGGGCGCCATCCCACAGCTCGTAACCCTTCTAGTAACCGGCAACGCAGGCGCAAAGCGGGGAGCCGCGCTGTGCCTGGGCAACTTCTCAGAGTCAAGCCCGACCCTCTCTGTGTCCGTGAAAGCCAAGTCCGGCGGGTGCTGCTTTAAGCCCCCAGAGGAGCCCAAGTGTGTGCTCCATGGGGGCACGTGCTCGGTGCGCTCGTCCTTCTGCCTGCTAGAGGCGGAGGCGATCGACCCGCTGGTGGGCGCCATGGGGGAGAAGGAGCCCCTGACGGCGGAGGCGGCGCTGACGGCGCTGTCGACTCTCATGGCGGACTCGTGCCGATGGGAGGCCAGCGTGAAGATCATCCATGAGTCGGGTCAGCATGTGGGGGGGGGCATGGGGTTTGTTGGGTGGGTGGACTGGAGGGGCGGGAGGGAGGGTTGTGTGGAGGGAGGGTAGGTTAGGCCTAGTAAGGAATGTGCGCTGGATAGCCTATGGGAGGCCAGCGTGAAGATCATCCATGAGTCGTGTCGGCATGGGCGGGGACATGGGGGTTGGTTGGGTGGAGGGAGGGGGTTGTTTGGGCTGAGTGTAAGGGATGCACTCTGGAGTGTGCCGAGAAGAGGAAAGTGTGAAGATCATGTGTGTGAGTCAGGTCAGCATGTCTGCTCTTTTGGCGTCTTTTGGAGTTGCAGCATTGTTTGTTGTCGCATTGGGAGATGGGGATGGGGGGTGATCGGATGGAGGAGGGGGGGAAGGGAGGGTGGATTGAGCAAACACTCTGGAAAGCACAAGGGGGGGCACTGCACTCGCTCTGGAGTGTTTTTGGTTTCTTTCTTTCTGTCCTTTGCTTCTTTCCGTGTCTGCGCATTTGGGCCCAGATTTAGTGCAGCAAGGTCAGTGCAGAGCACAATTGTGATGTTGAAATCGGCCCCGCTTGCTCATTCTGCACTTGTTCCCCATCCCCATCCCCATCCCCATCCCCATCCTCATCCCCATCCCCATCCCCATCCCCATCCCCGCTCCTGCCTGTTGACTCTCTCAGGCGGGTTTGGGCGGGTGGTGCAGCAGCTGAGCGAGGGAACAGAGCGCGCCAAGGAGAAGGGCGTGTGGATGCTGGAGAAGCTGTTCCGCCTGGAGGAGTACAAGTTTGAGTACGCCACCAAGGCGCAGGGCGCGCTCATCGAGATCACACAACACGGCTCCAATGAGACCAAGCCCGTTGCGGCCAAGATCTTGAGTCATCTGGAGCTGCTGCACCAACAGAGTAGTTATTTCTGAGCGGTTGTGGGGGGTTTAAGGGGGTGGGTTGAGGTGTGGGGGGGCATGGGAGGGTGGTGGTGGGTGTGTGAATGTGTGTGGGGAGGGTGAGGTGGGTGCGGGTTGAAGTGTGGATGGTGGAGGGGTGTGGGTGGGTTGGGCGTGCGTGAGTGGTACGGCAAGGTCTGGTGCGGTGCGCGCTTGTGTTTATTTGCTGGGGTTGCTTCTATTCCCAGTACCCAGGCATTGCAGATTCGCAGGTGAAAAGTAGAGTCAGGTAGTCACAATTTTATCTCCTGGTGCTTGGTGAGAATGGGTGGAGGTCTAGAGATTTGCGAGCTGGAACCTCTTGTGCTTGTCTCATCCGAGTATTGTGTAGAGTTGGGATATGAGTAATAAGATGAGGCTTGTAGGTGGTAGTGTAGCCGAGTTTACTTAAGAACTGTCCTCGTTGAGTGCTCCACCTAAGAGTTTTTACTGGTACCTTTGATAGGAATAATCGATTGATTTAATGCTATTTAGATATAAAGGGTAGAGTATCATGTAGCACAATTCGTGGTGCTCGGAGATGCTGATGTTGCCGCCCTTGCGGAGATTTCAAGGCGCCGTTGGCGAAATGTAACCTGCCCTCATTGTCCTCGCACCAGCCAAGTGGGGAGCATTCAGCACGCCCTTCTCGCTGGATACATGCGCCTTACACCCCATTCCTCCCTGCCCAACCCCCCCCCACCCCCCCCCCCACCCCCCACCCCCCCCTTCTGCAACACTCAGGGCGTGTCCAGCGCGTTCGTTTTGCCCCAACACGAGTTTTTGACGTTTTTTTAACACGCCGAAATCTTGATTCGCCAAGCGTGAATGTGTTGAGGTACACCTACAGGATCAACAGCAAAACGCGCGGACACGAGCCCCGCCCGTGTCTCGATTAATGAGCAGGTGCGCAGCGCGCACATAACAGACTGACACGCGAAAACAGCAGGGTAACCAAATTTCGCCCCGGGAAAGAGGCCCCGCCCGCTTTCGCAAACACGCATTACGAGCCGCGTCTCCACCCAGGGGGGAAAAATGGAGGGCTCAATTTCCCCCTCGCCAGAGCAAAAAAACAGAAACACAGGACGAATTCCAATTCTTCTTCCGCTTTATGCGTTCTATTTTTCGCCAGCCAGGTTTTGGACGTTTCTGCCGTGTATATAATTTGGGCACGATTTTCATTCGGTTCGGAAACGTGCGGCCCACGTCTGCGGACACGTTTGGAGGGAGTCCGCCAAAACCGTCAATTTATCGTGCGTGTCGAGTTACCAGGTCAAACTTTCGTACCTGATATGCAAAGTGGATAGGTAACGAACGCGCTGGACACGCCCTCACTGCAACACTTCCCTTCCATGATTCTTGGAGATCCCCTCCTCCCCCAGTCCCACTCACTAATCTTGCATGTTTTGTTCAACCTAGTTCTTTGAGTTGTGTGGTTCTCAGCTCGGCATTCTAGGAGATTTCAATAGGGCCTGTTGAGATGCGGACGTTAGAGACCTGCGCTCGATTCGCAACTCCAGCGCGAGTCTCGGCGCGAGTTTCGGCATCGCCACAGCCAACTCCGATGCCTGCTCTTCTTTCCTCTCATGTGTCATCGTCGCTCTTCTTCACGACGCGTCGCACCCAGCTCTCCGTTTCCGCCTGCCACGTGCCACGTGGATCCGCCTCGGTGCAGCCGCTGCACAGGAAAAACAATCTCTCGAGATTCCGGAATTGTCGGAATCCCTTAGTCTCAGTTAGTCTCGGTCTTGTTCGCGTAACCGTCAAAATTAACGGTGTCTACGCTGCCTCGTCCGCCGCCGCTGGTGGTGACGCAGACGGGGGGGCGGAGACAGCGGGGGATGCGGCGAGCTGCGGGGATGACACGGCTGGCAAGAAGCGCACGGATACGGGGGATGCGCGGGGACATGCGGAGGGTGATGGCGGGGAAGGGGCGGCGGAAGGCGGAGAGGTCATGGCGAGGGCCTCGGCGGAGATGAGGGTGGGGAGAGAAGGAGCGGAGGTGGCGGGGGATGAGGGGGAGGACGAGGCGGGTGGTCTTTTCAGTGGTGGCATTGGTTTACATCTGGTAGGAATGACGATAGATTCAATAGATTCAATAGATTCAGTAGACTCGGAAGATTCGGTTGAAATGCCATTTTCGAATGGTGCTTATCCTCTCTGAGTGTCCTTGCCCATGTGCCATGGCCCCTTGATCCATGCGGTCAAGCGGTCAAGCGGTCAAGCGGTCAAGCGGTCAAGCGGTCAAGCGGTCAAGCGGTCAAGCGGTCAAGCGGTCAAGCGGTCAAGCGGTCAAGCGGTCAAGCGGTCAAGCGGTCAAGCGGTCAAGCGGTCAAGCGGTCAAGCGGTCAAGCGGTCAAGCGGTCAAGCGGTCAAGCGGTCAAGCGGTCAAGCGGTCAAGCGGTCAAGCGGTCAAGCGGTCAAGCGGTCAAGCGGTCAAGCGGTCAAGCGGTCAAGCGGTCAAGCGGTCAAGCGGTCAAGCGGTCAAGCGGTCCTTGTACTGATAAACCCTGGGTACAAGCTAAGCAAGGCCCAGGTGGCTAACATCCACCCTCCCTCTCCATCCCTCTCTCTGTGCCTCCCTCCCCCCTGTCTCTTGTCGCAGCCATGGGATTCATCGTCATCTAACACAAGTGAAGCATCCCCGCCATCACCATCCCCGCCATCACCTTTCCAGTTCCCCTCGCCCTTCCCTCCTGAGCCCTCCTCTCAGTTCCTTGATCAGCTTCCCCCACAAGACAGGGCGCTTCTCTTCCCCTCTCCCCCCTCCTCCTCCTCCTCCTCCACTTCCTCCTCCTCCCTCCCCTCCGCCTTTTTCTCCTCGCCTTTCGCCTCGTACGGCCAATCCTACTACCAGGATGACGATCCCGCCGAGCCTCTGCCGGACCTGGCGGCGAGGCTCGGGCTGGACCACCCAATCCAGGAGCGGGAGAGTGCTGTGGTAAGCATCTCTGAGCGGATAGAGAGGAGGCCGGAGGAGGCGTCTGAGCTGGTCTCACTCCTACAGGCCGGACGAGTTGCGTCCCCTGCCCGTCTCCCTCTCCCTCTGCCTCTGGTTGCCCTGCTGGGCAATCTCCTGCACACTAGCGCTGCTGCATGGCACAGCAGCATGGAAGACAGGGGGTCAGTGCCTGCCGCAGCAGCTGCTGCGGCTGCTGATGCTGCTACTGCTTCTGCCGTTTGGTGGCTGGAAGGGGTGGAAGACAGGCAGCAGGAGGCGGGAACGAGGGAGCGGAGGGATCCAAGGGATTCAGAACCAGCTAGGAGCGAGAAGGAGGAGGACGACAACGAGGCGACAGACGTAGCCATCACCGATGCTCAAGTCAGGGAGCTAGAGGCGCTCCTGCAGACAGGAGTCACACCGCAAGCACAGCCGCAACGGCAGCCGGATTCGCGGACAGAGTCACTACGCCTGCCCAGAGAGAGTGTGATGGAAGCAGCTGCAGCAGTACTGTCAGCCCTAGCAGCAGCGTCCCCAGAGGGGCTGCAAGCCGTGGTGCAAGGAGGGGGGGTGGAGGAAGTAGCAGCGGTGCTGTCCCTCCCAGGTCTCCCCCAATCCGTCCGCTCCCAAGCCCTCCCTCTCGTCGCCGCTGCTGCCTCCCTCCCTTCCCTCCGCCCGAAACTCCCGTCCCTGCACCTCCTCCCACCGCTCCTAACCACTCTCTACGACCCAGAGGCGTCTGACCCAGAGCTCGAGGACTCCCTCTCTGCCCTCTGCCACATGGTTAAAGACCGATCCTGCTGGCCCGCGCTCATAGACGCTCAAGCGGTGCCACGAGTGGCAGCTTTCCTGGCAGCAATAGACGCTGGAAACGGCACGGCTCCCCGGCACTCCCTGCGTTTGCTCCGCTCCTCCCTCCTCTCCCTCGCCCCGGACACCTTCTTTCGCTCCTGCCTCCTGGAAAGTGACCTGTGTCTGGTGCCCTTGGTGGGCGCTGATGCGTACCGGTCGCTGGCTAGTGAGGGGGAAACGGTGAGGGTGACACGAGTGCCGCCGTCGCTGCCGCCCCGGCTGGCTGCTGCTGCAAGAGAGGTGCTGAGAGCGCCGGTTGAGGGGACGTTTGGTGCTGGAAAGCTGCTGCTGGGGCTGGCGCTTGGGGGGAACGGGGGAGGGGGAGAGGGAGAGGGAGGGGGAGGAGAAGGGAAGGGAGGGGGGTTGGGGTTGGGAGGGGGGGGTTGGACGAGGAGGGTATAAGGGAGTTGGAGGGACGGACGAGGCAGCAGTTCCTGGCTCGGATTGGGCTTCTGGAGAAGAAGAGGAAGGAGGAGGAGAGGAAGGAGGAAGAGAAGGAGAAGGAGAAGAATACGAGTAAGCGTTTTGAGCGGAAGCGGGGAGGGAAGTGGAGTGGGGGAACAGCTGTGGGGGGAGGGCAGGATGAAGGTGGTAAAGGAGAGAAAGAGGCACCTTTGGATCTGATGTCACAACAAGTAGCATCGGACAAGCCTTCCTCGGAGCACGAGCAAGTTCAAGAGCAAGAGCAAGAGCAAGAGCAAAAGCAAGAGCAAGAGGCGCCCTGGTCCAGCAAGAGCTTTACTCTCATGTCTCGCTGGGACGGCGTGCCGCGTCTCGTGCTCCTCATGGGCTTAGAGAACGAGCGCGTGGCGGCACGGGCGCTGGAGGCAGCGGCAGAGCTGGCGAGAGTGGGGGAGGGGAATAGGAGGGCGCTGAGGGACGCGGGTGCGGTAGTGCATGCGGTGCGGTGGCTGGGGGGGAGCGATGCCGCGGTGAGGGCTGCTGCTGTGGCTGCTGTGGAGAGACTCAGCGTCAGGTGAGGGCGTGAGTCGACTCAAAAGTTCATGCGGGGCGGTGGTTGGGGGTAGCAGTGCCGCGGTGAGGGCTGCTGCTGTGGCTGCTGTGGAGAGGCTTAGTGTCAGGTGGGTGAGGGTTCGTTGCTGCCTAGGCGTGAGGGGTTGTTGCTGCTCAGTGTGAGGAGTAGTTGCTGTCGTCAGTTTGTCCCTGGTCAGTTTGTCCTCTTCGCGGTTAAGATGTGCGCGAGTGAATGGATTCGCCTCTTCACATCCTCTGAGGTTCCTCTCTCTCCTTTGCTCCTCCCCTCTCCTCCCCTCCCCCCCCTCCCCTCCTCTCCCCTCCCCTAACCTCCCCGCCCCTCCCCGCCCCTCCCCGCCCCTCCCCTCCCCTCCCCTCCGCTCCCCTCCCCACCCCTCCTCTCCCTTCCATCACCCCCCTTCCCCCCATTGCAGTGCAACGGTGCGCCTGTCTATCATCCGCAGCGGGGGGGTGGGAGCATTGGTGGCGCTGCTGGCGGCACAGGGGGAGGAGAGGGCCGTGCGGGACAAGGTACTGCTGCTGGGGGAGGAGGGGGCAGGGGGGACGAAGAAGGGGTTCGGAAGGGAGAAGGGGCAAAGGGGTTGTGTGTGGGGGCTAACGGGGGGGGGGGGGGGGGGGGGGGGGGGGGGGCGGGGGGTTGGAGGGAGGGGATGGGACAGGCAGCGTTGGGGCAATGGAGAAGGAAACCCGAATTCTCTGGTCTGTTCTGCACTGCACTCCCGCCTACCTCTCTTTAAGTCAAGCTCAAAACAGCACCTATGCCTGTTCGTGCCTGCTCGTGCCGGCTCATGCCTGTTCTATGTCCCGTTGACATCCCACACTCCCCAGGTTGTGTCTGCTCTCCTTCGCATGGTGTCAGATGAAGAAGCAGCCGCCAAGATGGTGGGTATGCATATCCATCCGTTCGCCCATCCATCCATCATCCATCCATCCATCCATCCATCCATCCATCCATCCATCCATCCATCCATCTATCCATCCATCCATCCAACCATCCATCCATCTATCCACCCACCCACCACGAACTTTCTCACCCTAGACTCTCTTTAATCTCAGCTTTAATCACTCACGTGATCAGGTTTTTCTTACCCTTCTCCTGCATCTCTCTCCCTCCTTTTCCTCTCCCCATCCCCACACCCCTCCTGCAGGCGTCAGCAGTACCGTCCTTCATCGCTATGCTTAGGGAGGGAGACACACAGCCTTCAAGAGAGGGGGCAGGGGAAGGAGAGGAAGCAGCAGCGGCAGCAGCGGTGGCAGCAGCGGCAGCAGAGCAGGAGGTGAAGGGAGGGAGAGGAGCACCGCCACGGGCAGCACTGCTACCAAATAACCTGACAGCAGCAGCAACAAGTGACCAGGCGGCAAGGGCGGACGGGCAGGCAGCAGCCGAGACTCTCTTGCTCCAAATATCGTCTCTCGTGGGCACGCCGTGTGAGAGCATAGTGGCTGCGGGAGGCGTGCCTCCCCTCGTTGCACTCCTTGCGACGGGCTCACTCAGGGATCGGGCTACTGCCGCGCAGATTCTTGGCAATGTGATCGCAGCACGACCAGAACGGGGGTGGTCGGAGGATGGTGCTGATGGTGATAGTGATGGTGGTGACGCTGGTGGGGGTGGTGATGCACATGTGGTGGCGCTGATGGCGGCTGGGGTGGTGGCTGCGCTGGAGAGTGTGTTTCTGCTGGCCGAGCCCAAAGGTGTGTGGGTTGAAGGTTGGTTTTCGGATAGTTGAGTTGGTCTTTTATAATTGAGTTAGTTTTTTTAGAATGTTGTGAAAAACCAACTCAGCTTCAAGGTGCGTGGGCTGGTGAGTGTGGGGTAGGAAGCAGGGTTGACAAGGTGTGGGTTAATGAGCTGTGGTTAAGGTAGTGAGTGAGGGCTGTTATGAGCCGAGTGCATGGTGAGGACCAAGGGACAGTCTCTCACACCTTTGGAACCAATTCAGACCCATTCCCATCTTCCCTTCCCCATTCCCCCTCCCCTCTCTACCTCCCTATGACTCCCCCTCCCCCCTCCCCCCTCCTCCCTTCCTCCTTCCCCCCTTCCCCCCCTCCTCCTCCCCCCCCCTCCCCCCTCCCGTCTCCTGCGAGCAGATCCAGACCCCATCCGCGCTCTATCCTCCGTGTCCGCCTCCTCCCCTCTCTCCCTCGAAGCCGAGTCCGACCTATGGGCAGCCCAAGAATCCGCCGCGCTCCTCGCCCGCCGCCTTGCATCCACCGCAGGGGGGTCCGCCCGCGCTGTCCTCGCGGACTCCCGCCTGGTGGGCTGCCTCAAGGGCATGTTAAAGTCGTCCGCGCCTCTGGCAGTCAAGGACAAGGTGTCGGAGGCTCTCATTGTGATCACTGATGCGGCCGCAGACGCTGAGGTGGTGGTTACCACATTCGATTTGATTCCGCACTTGGTGGAGGATCTAGGGTTTGCAGAGGACGGAGGAGAGGGAGGGGGGGGAGGGGAGGGCGGAGGGGAGGAAGAGGAGGGGGAGGTGGGGGAGGAGGTGTGGAGTGAGATGGCTATTCACCCCACACTCCCTCTGCCTCGATCTCTCTCTCCGCCCCCGCTCCTTCGATCCAGCGCATCCCTCCCGTGGGCGGAGAGAAGGGAGAGAGCAGCAGTGCGGCTGCTGGACCTAGCTCTCACGGGTAACCCGGGCTACCTCCAGGCAATGGCCCGAGCCGGCGCGGTCTTCCCATTGGTCGATATCCTGCAGAAAAAACCCTACAGCAGCAGGGGGAGGAGCAGCAGCAGCAGGGGTGGGGGGGCAAGCAGGATGGGGAGGCCGTCTGTGATGTGCCAGAGAGCGGCGCTGAGTGTGCTGTATGCGCTTGGGAACGACGAGGACAACCATGCGGTGATGGTGGGTGCAGGGATAGAGCCGGTGCTAGAAGACATTGTGAAGAGAGGGGAGGAAGGGGGGAGGTTTGGACAGGGGCGGTGGAGGCTGGCTCTTTACCTGTTGCAGGGTCTCAGGGTGTGATGCCCACATTGAGAAAATCTACCGTAGGTGGTGTGGTGAGTGAGCAAGGTGAATGATACGATTGGGAGTTTCGGAGTAAAGGTGCAGGGACAGAGTATGCTAGGTTTAGATGATTTAGGATTCGTTTCCTTGTGGAGTAGGGTAAAGCACGACACGATAAGCACAATAATGTCAGTGAGTACATCATAAACATGAGAAGTCACTCTATATGTCTGGCTGAAGCCATGTTTATTCGGCATACAAGCTGCCAGGTAAGCCGCAAAATACGGAGAACCCTGTACCAGAAGCATGTATGCTAGGTACGCTACGCAAATCCCATGGCTCCTACCATAACTTCCAACCACCGTTAAGGCCCAAAATTGTGCCAAGTACCTCAGCTCCCCACAGGCATCCCGCCCCAGCAACCACCCCAGCATCCATCTCACCAGTCGTCCCAGCATCCCATCGCACTAGGGCAGCGCCGCGGCTTCAGAGCCCGGTGCTGCGTCCGAACCTGGTGCAGCCTCCGAGCCAGGAGCGGACTCCGAGCCAGGTGCGGATTCCGAGCCTGGCGCACCTGCATCCCTGGCCTTCTCCTCCGCAGCAACCGCTGCAGCCTCCGCCTCTTCCGCCGCCGCTTTCTTAACCTCCACCAGCTTATCCGCCTCTACCCTGCGCGCGGTCGCGGACGTCAGCGCCGCCTTCGCCTTGTACAGCGTCGCCTTAGCAGTCACCGCTGCCTTTTCCGCCACCTTGAGCTCCGCGTCCGCGGTCTTGGCGGCGGCGTCCGCCGTCTCCGCCGCCGCGACGGCCGCGTTGTACTTGTCGAGCGTCGCCTGCTCTTCCGGAGTGAGCGTCGGGTTCGGCGTCTTAGCCGCGGCCGCCTTTGCCTTCTGCACCTCCGCCTGCGCTTTAATCTCCTCCGCCGCCGCGCCGTCGGCGTTTTTCTTCATCTCGTCGGCCTTCTTCTGCTCGCCCTTCGCCTTCTCCTTCGCCTTCGTCGCGTCCTTTCCCTTGGCGCTGCCCGCCGCCTTGGTCGCGTCGTCCGCGAGCTTCTGCTGCGCGGCGGCCGCCGCCGCCGCCTTTTCCTTGTTCGTCTTAGCCTGCGCGGCCTTCGATTCGGCCTTTTTCACGTCGTCTTGCGCCTTGTCGTACGCTTTCTTGCCGTTAGCTTTCTTCTGGATCCCCGCGACCGTCTTTTTGAGCGCGTTCACCGTCTTTTTCGCCGTTTCTGCCGCTGTCTTGTTGCTCGCCGCGTTGACCTTCGCCGCCGCGAGCGCCGCGTTTGCCGCTTGGGCTGCGGTTTTCGCGGCGTCAACGGTGGCGTTAGCCGCGGCTTCCTCGTCGGCGCGCGTCATCGCGAGCTCCTCCGCCGCTTCGAGCTCTGCCCAGGCCGCGTCGGCCTCTTGGCGAAGCCGCGCCGCGATCTCGTCGAGCGTCTCCTGGACCACTGCAAACGCTCGCGCCTCTGCCGGGGAAGGCGCGACGAGCAGAAGCAGTGAGAGGGCGATGGTGAGGTAGACTGCGAGATGGAGAGTCTTCATGGCTGCTGCTGGTGGGAACCAAGAATCAAGAAATGGAAGGATCGGACGGGTGGTGTGTCAATGGTTGGTTGGGTGATTACTAGTGCTATGCTGCTGGGTGCTGGAAAGATTTGGATGGTGAGAGAAAAGTCGAGGGCCTTTTTATGCTTGGGAATTTTAGGGATGAGATTGTGGAAGCGGCTCGCTGGGCGAGTCGCGATGTGCAACCGCGTTCTCCTCAACGAAAGAGGAAGGGGCCAACTGGGGGATGATGATTTCATCCTGGCCAGGTAGACCTGTCGGGGATTCTGCCAGATAATTGCGTAAACGAGAGATTCGAGTATTTTTCGCTTCATAATACTCGATGTCGGGTGTGTCGCCCGTTAAATTCCGGAAAACGGCAACACTCTCCCATTACTTCGCCAATTATTTCCCTAGTATGGCAGGCCATGCCCAGTAGATCATGGTGTTTAGAAGAAGCAGATCCTCTTGAGGTCACCGAGAATCCCTTTTTTCTTAGGGTTCTAGTAAACATTCGACTTTACGTTTACTTGCGGAACCTGCTCTGCGCGTTGCACGTGGCCAGCTATTCCAGGTCAGCCTCACGCGCAAACGGTTCGCAACATGGGCGGATGGGCAAGGTGTGGGGTGGGGTGGGTGGGGTTTGGGCAGGCCTCTGGAAGTAAGGGTAATGACAATGATTTGTTAAGGAAATAAGGGTCAAAATTTAACCTAGCCCTGCTTTGACGCATTCAGACAATTGATACCCGTCCATGGACAGGCAAGCCAGAATCTTCCCACCTCCAATTTCCGAGTATGGGTTAGACCCGCCCCGTAAAATCTAATGTTAACGTTCGCGCCCCTAGTAAAAAATTATCCCCCTGTTATTGCCAGGAGTGGCTTTTCCGAGCTTGACGAAACTCTTGCCTGCAAAAACAGTCAAACTTATTTGGGCTACCCAGCCTGGACGAGTTGGATCCCGGGCAAACTCGGAAACTGCAGGGTGACCCCTTGGATATCGAGAGGCCTGGGTGTGGGCTGTCTGGCATTTTCGGCGGCTGAATGGGCTTGAAAGGAGGAGAACTTCCCGCCGTCGTGGTCGTTGGCAGGCACATGGCAACAGAGCTGAATCTCGGGGCTGCACTGGAGCCGTGAAAGGCGATTTCTGGCGGTTGTCTGCAATCACGGCGTGTCTGACATGAAGGGCACCTCACCCAATCGCAATCGCGCGTACACCCAGCCTACACATAAGAGCTTGTCTGCACGTAAAATAGTTCCATTACTAGACTCAGCAACTATGGACATGCTAGGTAATTCTTGATCAAGGAAAAGACTATACGGAAACTTGGGTTGTTTTCAGTCTTTGTGGATGGTTCAAGGCTACTAATGTAACCTTTCAAGAGCACACTAATAATAAAGGTAGTAGTGGGGTTTAATGAGCTGGTAAAGTATTTTATTGTACAAAAATATTTTAAAGGCATAAAAGGCGGTTATATGACAGAACTGTTTTGTCTGTTTTTTTGGGTTCCTATTCTTGAAGATTCTTAACGTCTACTCGCAAGCTCCCATAAGAACAAACTCCTGTAACGTGAGGCTGTCCCTTCTCAAAGCGAGTATAATTGGCTCCCACCGGGAAGTTAGGCTGAGATTGCGCGCAGATTCAGGCATTGCGAGAATTGCGGGTGTTTCCACATATGTGGGATGGATGCGAGAAAGACGATTGGCTGTCTGGTTATGGTTTACCCGCCCAGGTGGGAAATTCTAATCACGTGGTTTCGTCTGCAGCAGTCCGCCTCCAAGGGCTAGAAGCGGCGCCCACCTCAATTCAGTCCGGCCGTCAGGTTTCGTGTGGCGTCATTGCCATGTCGTCTGACAAAGAAAAAAGAAACTCGGGTAATTTGCTGAAAGATCAGCAACTTCAAGCGTCTGATCTGTACGCTGTAGCTCAGTTCTCGCAACCTAAAAACAGAATCTTTCTAATCTGACGCACCATGAACAGTTCTCAATCATCAACATTAGCGGGGTTTCCTGATCTGATGGGGGGGGGGGGGGGGGGGGGGGGGGGGGGGAGGGGGTGGCTCGTATTTCCGTACTTCTGGAAGTGACACATAGGCAAATCGCGTTTCAGCCAGGGGCACACACCAGAATTCGTTTCGGCCCACCACCACCAAACTAGATATAAGGGTAATTTGTTGACAGATCAACAATCTTGACTGGCTGATCTGGACGGTGTAGATCAGTTCTCGTAACCTTAAAATAGCATCTTTCTAATCTGACGCACCATGAACAGTTCTCAATCATCAATATGAGTGGGATTTTCTGACCTGATGGGGGGGGGGGGGGGGGGGGGGGTGGCTCGTTTTTCTGTACTTTAGAGGTGACACATCGGCAAATCGCGTTTCAGCCAAGGGTACACACCAGAATTCGTTTCGGCCCACCACCACCAGACCTAAGGCGTTTTGGCCGAAACGAATTCTGGTGTGTACCCTTGGCTGAAACGCGATTTGTCGATATGTCACCTCTTAAGTACGGAAAAACGAGCCACCCCCCCATCAGATCAGAAAACCCCGCTAATGTTGATGATCAAGAACTATTCGTGGTGCTTCAGATTAGAAAGATGTTATTTCTAGGTTGCGAGAACTAATGTACACTGTACAGATCAGCTGGTTGAATTCGCTGATCTGTCAGCAAATTACCCAAAAAACTCCACTGGGCAGCAGAGGAGGTGTGGTGGTGGTGGTGAGTCTGGTGTTCCCGTTCGTGTGTTCATTGGGACCACACCACACACCTGACTCAATCTCGACGGCCCTCCACTTATGGCCCAAACATCCACCGTCGATTCCAGATTCCTGAACCAAGAACAACAAAATCGCAGCCTCACGAGCGTGCCCAACAGGTCCTTGCAGGCTCATTACTGGTTCTGATATTTCTCATCTGCCCGGGAAAGATTCTTGGAGGCTTTTGCAAAGCGAATTGGTGAGTCGAGAGAGCCGAGTGGAGAGTCGCGAGACTCGAAACGAAAACACGCCGCAATACTGTACAACAAGCAAACTGTTTCATTATCACTGCAAACGGCGGCGAGCTCCTCGATCTTGGTTGGCGGGAGGGGAGGCGATCAGAGGCTGACGTCAGGCCTGCTTGCGCTTTGGCTTTCCAGCCGCGCGAATTCTCCCATCTCCTTCAAACAAACAGAGAAAGGAATTCGAGTTGAGCTGCTCAGCTCAGCTCAGCTCAGCTCAGATCAGAGGTGCTCTGGCGGCATTGATGCGATAGGCCATGCATTGCAAGGAGCTGAATCTGTTAGCTGATGAAGCTTGACATAACCCGTTGATCTACTGGAGCCCAGTTGGTCTCACGCCTCTCCGCTTTCTCAGCTCTACGTTATTCTGTATCAGCTTTGGGACACGAAAGTCTGAATAAGCACCTTTAATTCACAACCCGCGGTCTCACGCCGTTCTAAAGCCCCTCCGCTTGCTCGGTCCTACCAGTCACTATTGTCACCCTGAGAACACGAATGGGGGATTAGCACAAAACCACCGACTTGCTGAGTCGCATCCAAGACATGTCACGTCCTTAACTAGCTCGTGCGAGCACGTGATCGCCTAGCCATGCACGCACCGGCTTCTCACCTCAGCCTTCACCTGGGACAGCGGTCGTCAAGCAGGAATCCTCCTGAAATAGTCTCCATCAATCGTCCGACTCTTAGGCCTCTATACAACTCATTTCACGTCAGCCAACGGCCTCAGATATCCCTTAGCCTCTACTTATTTCCTGACTCCTTCATCTCGCCAGTTATCAACGCGCCAACCGGACATCCATTCCGTTCACCAGCACCAGATCTCTCCGTGCGGGCGTAAATTCTACACAACGCTCTGTAGCAGCTGTTGCGAGAAACCATAACCCAGTAGCAGAAATCACCGGAACAAGTAATCAAATCAGATCAAATCAAATCCCTCTTTGTGGGACCTTGTGCTGTAACGTTACACACATCAACACGCACGGGCCGCCAAGCCACCCTGATGCAATCCGCTGTCACCGCGACCATGAAAGCCATGATCCAAGTTCCAGCACCCACCGTCCTGCAAACCTCGTTACCCCTATCGCTCCACCAACAACCGCAACGTACAGGCACCGTTCAGCCTTCCCGTCAACGCGTGTCCTCATCCGCCGTTCTCACGAGAAGATCCCCTGGGAGAAACCGCGGATTCGGCCCGAGCGACGAGCTTAGAGGCACTCGGGATGTGCTGTCGCACCGCCTGCTGGGGTTCCCGCTAGGTTCACCAAAGCTGAGGGATTTTCCACTTTCCCGCCGACAGAGCTATGGCGGACTAGGAGTTATTGGACCCGGCTCCGTTCGCTGCTCGCTGCTGGATGCCAATGGGAGAAAGCTTCGCCGCATGTCGGTGGCGCCGGCGGCGGCGCCGGCAGCAGCGCCAGCGCCAGCGTCAGCGTCAGCGTCATCGTCAGCATCAGCGCCTGGGCCTGCGTCGTCTCCGTTTTCCGGAATCTCGCAATCGTCCGGAACCTCTTCATGCACGCGCACACGCCGCTCCACACGCCGCCGTGCCTTCCCCGCCGTTGGATCCCAGGCCCCGGAGCCTCCCAGCCGCAGATCCCGTAGAACTGAAATCTCACGGCGGAGCCAAGTCGCAGCGCCTACAGCATCCCCCGCTGTTCCCGCTCCCGCTCACGGGGAAAAAAGCTTTGTCGCTGGCGCCGTTGGCGCAGGAGGCGGAGGGGGAGGCGGAGGGGGAGGCCCCGCGGCAAGGGGAAAGCGGACCAGGCTTCCGCGGAGAGTCGGCAACGTTGTCAAGCATGGCACAATGCTCAGCAGCGACGGGGCGAGTAGCGGCAACGGTGGCAGCAGTAGTAGTGGTATTAACTGGGGTCAACCTATCGAGGGTAGAGGAGGAGCGAGCGGGGATCGCGGCGAGTGGTCCCCCAGCAGCAGCACGGCCGTCGAGGCCTTGATATGGAAGGCTGTCGTCGCCGACACGGCTAACGGTTCTAGTGCTTGGAATGATGATGACTCGACCGACTCTACGAACGTCAAAAGTAACGGTTCTTGTAACGGTTTCATCGGCCGGAACGCCTCGCCGTCTGCGGCTGCCGTCTTGGCTGCCGCCTTCCGGGATTCCGCCGGCCGTCTGATCGGTTCGCAGTGGTGGTGGCCGTTACTGGTCGGCGTGAACCTTGGAGTCCGCGGCTCGGATGCCGCGATCGGGAGCCATGCTCGTTCAGTCGGTAAAGCCGGCTACGACGACTATCAGCACTGGGATGATTGGTCCGTGTCTCTCGCGTCAGCGGCATCCGCGGTCCAGGAACGGCGGGCGGAGAGCACGAACTGGCGGTGGCGTTTGGGGCGATGGCACGCGGATATGGCGCACTGGCGGGGCTGGTGGCGGGAGCAGATGGGGGAATGGGGGGCCACGGCTGCAAGTGCGGCGGGAAGTGCGGCGGCGGGAGTGCTCTTGCTGAATGTGCTCGCGGCGCTTTATGGAACGAGCACCGTTGCCGCGAAGCTCGTTGACGACCAGCCCGTGTCACTGCCATCATCTCTGACGGCCGCCGTCAGGTTCTCCGCCGCGGCCGTCGTCTTCTCGCCCGTCATCTTCGCTATCCTGTCGAAGCGGAGCACGCGGAGCTCCCCCCGAGCGGGGGGAGAAGCGGCAAGTTCTCCGCGTAAGGGCGCAGCTGGCGATGAAGGCGCTGCCGCTGGCGGAAGAGCGGCAAACAACCGAGGGGAAGGCGCGCAGGCGGGGCGCATGCGGAAGGAGGCGGAGGGGCGTGAGGCGGAGGGTGGTAGGTGGGACAGCGAGTGGTGGCGCGAGGAGGGGGTGATTCTAGGAGGCATGGAGCTGGCAGGATGGAGCTTCCTCGGCTCGCTGCTGCTCCAACACGCCAGCAACACCAACGGCACCAGCGCCGCTCTGCTATACGCCTTCTCCGTAAGCTCCGCCTCCGCCTCGCTCGTCTCCCCCTAGCCCATCTCTTGTGTCGCCTTCCCATTCCGTTACTGCTTTCCTGCCTCTCCTTCCTGCGTTACTCCTTCCGCCATCGACTTCCTGCGTCTCGTCTTCTTCCGGCCACTGCTCGGTCGTCCATCTCCCGAATCCGCCCCAGATTTCTCCATTCCTTCGACCTTGAACCCCTCTACCGCATCCTCACCCCATCCCGTCCCCCCATTCCGTCCCCCCTTCCCTCCCCCCTCCCCCCCCCGCACGCAGATTTGTTTCCTTCCGCTCATGGAGCTGTCGTCCGGCCGCGCGCTCCACCGCTCCACTCTGCTGGCAGTCGTGGCCGCGCTCCTAGGCATGGGCGTCCTGGGCGAGCACGGCGCGGGCTGGGCGCTCCCTCTCTCTCTCCCGCATTTCTCGCTCCACCAAGACGCAGCCGCTGCCGCTGCCGGCGCTCTCACCCTTCCCCTTCCGCGAAGCTTCGACCTGAACTCTCTCCTCGGGTCGCTACTTGCCGCCGCGCAGATCTTCCGCTCCGAGGCGCTCACCACGCGCTTCGACCCGCTGCGCCTCGCTGCCGTCCAGGCCGGCACGCTCGCGCTGCTAGGCCTCGGCTGGGAAGCCGTACACGTGGCAGGCGGCGGTCTAGACGGCGTAGTGCGGCTCGCGGAGGAGATTAAAGCCATCCCGTGGCTCCCGCTGGTGTACGGAGGCGCGGTGGGGTCTGGACTATGCGTCTGGCTGGAACTATGCGGATTAAGGCGCGTTCCGGCGTCCATAGCTATGCTGGTGTACACGTCTATACCCGTTTGGGGCGCTCTGTTGTCGTTTGCGGTGAGGGGGGAAGCGCCCGGGTTCTCGGTTGCGATGGGGGGAGGGATGATAGTGGTGGTGGGTGCGCTGGCGCACTGGCTGCTGGCGGAAGGGGAGAGGGAGAAGGAACGGGAGAGGGAAGAGGAGAGGAGGAGCAGAGAGGGATTGGAGCAGGAAGGGGTCTCACAGGCAGGAGTCGCACAGGCAGCAGTCGCACAGGGCGCGGGGGAGCGGAGAGCCGGTGCACTGGCGAATGGGCGCATTCGGTGGCGCGTGTTGGGGGATGCGGAAGGGGTGGCATGGGTGGAGACAGCGGAAAGGACGGAAGAAGCGGAACGAGCGAAAGCAGGGCGGAGGAGGCGAAGTGAAAGCCGAGCGGAGATAGTGGGAGCAGTTGGGGGGGGGGAGATGGAGGAGAAAGGAGGGGAGGCAAGAGCGGGTGCAGGTGGAGAGGAGGCGGAAAAGGGAGACGGGAGCAGCAGCAGCAGCGGCGGCGGCACCAGCAGCAGCAGCAGCAGCAGCGGCAGCGGCAGCGGCAGCGGCGGGCAGATGAGGGAGCAGATCTCAGTGGCGCTGGTGACGTCGCAGCTCAAGTACCCGTGCTACGCCGTGCAGGCGAAGCGAGTGCTGGTGGAGCTCCAGGTCAACCTCGGCGTGGGCGTCCATAAGACCCTCGTCATCTCCCTCCCCTCTCTCTCCCTGCCCTCTCTCCCCTCCCTGCCCTCTCCCCCATCCCTCCCCTTCTCCTTTCCTCCTCTCTCGTCCCTCCCCTCGCTTCCTCACATGCCGACTCTCCCCTCCCTGTCCCTGCCGTTTCCGTCCCCATCCCCATCCATCTCGCTCTCCTCCTGGTCCATCCCCTCTCTCTCCCCCCTACTTGGACCTTCGTCCTATACCACCACCATCGCCGCCCGCACCACTCCTTCTCTGTCTCCCGCCTCCGCCTCGCCCCCCCTCTCCTCCGCCTCGCCCCCCCTTTCCTCCGCCTCGCCCCCCCTCTCCTCCGCCCTCTCCTCCACCTCACCCCCCCTCACCTTCGTCTCCTCCCCTTCTCCGCTCACCACCAGCTCCTTATCCTCCTCTGCCCATTCCTCGTCTCCCTGCATCCCTACACCATCCTCATCCCCCATGTCCCCTGCTCCCCTGCCTTTGTCGCTGCAACCAACCCAACCACTCTCCGCCTCTCCCCCCTCGTCGACTACTGGCAGCAGCAGCAGCAGCAGCAGCAGTAAGAATGGCACCGGTGGTGACGCTGGCATCGGTGGTAAAAGCAGTGTCAATAGCAGCGGCAACAGCAGCAGCAGCAGCAGCAGCGGCAGCAGCAGCGACAGCAATGCTGCCATCACACTTCCCCTTACGTCTGCATCAACCATTCCCACCATTCCCACGACCACCGCCGCCACACCTGCTTCATCCCCCCCACCCACAACCACAGCTTCGGTAGCCGCTCCCACCCCTACAGCACTGCCCTCCACCGCATCCAACCCCACAACATCCTCCCCCACCACATCAAGCAATGCAGTCCCGGCTCTTGACATACCTCAAAGCTCAGCTGCAGACAGCGGTCCCGATTCAGCCTTGTTGTGGACGCTCCCATCCCCATTGGCGCCACCTCCCATTGCTGCATTGCCTCCTGCTGCACCCCAGCCCACGCCAGCAGCTACCAGCATCACCCAGACTCAGAGTCAACCGCTGACTCTGACCCAGACTCAGAGCGCCCCAGCGTTTCCCCCATCCTCCACCTCGGCTCCAACATCCCCTCCCCCTTCTTCCTCTTCCGCCTCGTCTGCCTCGTCCGCCTCATCCGCCTCGTCCGCGTCTTCCTCTCCCTCCTCCTCCTCCTCTGCTCCCATGTCCTCGTCTTCTGCACCCGCCAGTCCATCCCTGTCTGCTTCTTCGGGTCCTGCTTCCACTTCTGTTCCCGCTTCCACTGACAATTCTAGTGCCAATGCCACCTCTACCACCCCTACACCTGCCACCTCTGGCAGCAGCCCCAGCACGAGCAGCACCCCTGCCACTGCTTACGCTGCCACTTCTTCCGGCTTGCCTGCTCTCAGCAATCCAGCGGCGCCCACAGGAGCCCCTGCTGCCAGCACCACCAGCAGTGCCAGCACCAGCAGCACCAGTGGTAGTGGTAACAGCAGCAGCAGCTTGCTCCTGGCAGGGATTGACCCTACAGCGTCGTCTGCTGGTGTTGCTGCTTCTGCAGCCTTGAGCACTGGCTCCGCTGCCTCTACTGCCTCTACTGCCTCTACTGCCTCCACTGCCTCCACTGCCTCCACTGCCGTCACCGCCGCCACAGCCCCACCCACTTTTGTTCCCCCTTCTACTACCTCCACCGTCTCTCCAGGCAACGCTGCTGGAGCCCCTCTGTCCGCAGCTGCGTCTCTTGCCACCCCCGCTGCAGCATCAGCTCCAGTAGCAGGCTCTAGTGCTACTGCTGGTTCTCCTGCAGCAGGTGCCCCCAGTGCTGCTGCTCCTGCTGCTAGCCCTGCGCTTGGCACGGGAACAAGTAGCACAGGCTCATCTCCCACCAACAGCACCAACAGCACCAGCCCGGCCACCAGCAGCACCACGACCACGACCACGACCACCGTCGCCCCTACCAACTCGACTCCCCCATCTGGGCCATCACCTGCTCCTCCCTCCGCTGCAGACGCACCACATGCTTCAGCTGCCAAGGCATCGTCATCAGGCTCGTCAGCAGCAGCAACGTCAGCAGGGGATGGGTCGGGGGCAGCAGCCATGGCAGCAGCAGGGGCGGTGCAGGCGGTGGAGGCAGAGGCGGAGCTGGGTGCTGCTGCTGCCGGCATGGCGGAACAGGCCGTGGGAGAGCAGATGTTGGCAGAGCAGATGCTGGGAGAGCAGATGCTGGGAGAGCAGATGTTGGGGGAAATTGGGGAGCAAGCAACAGTGCTGGGTGATCACGTGACTCTGGCTTCTGACCAGCTGCTGGCTCTAGACCCAGCTCTTGCTCTTCCTGAGCTGGTTCTGCCCGAGGCAGTCTCTGAGAGCCTTCCTAGCGTTGCTGAGAAGGTAGCTGAGAACGTGGCCGGGAGTCTCCCCACGATTGTAGAAGACCTTCCCAAGGTGGCGTTTCAGGGAACAGGTTCGGAGTCCTCTGTAGTAATGCTGGCGGGTTTGGGGGCTGAGGCTGAGACGGCGCTGGAAGTGGCGGCGTCAGCAACTGCTGCTGCTGCTGCTGCCTTGGCAGCTGAGCTCTCAGGAAGCATGGACTCGGTGCTGGCGTTGGAATCGCTATCGCTAGTGGAGGTCCTTGATGGTGCTGTGCTCACTGGCGCTGCAGCTGACGTCTCCAGTGCTGTTATGGTGGCCGATGTTGGAGCGGAAGCCGCATCAGCTGCAGTGTCAGCTGTTGCGGCGTCGTCCGGAGCAGCAGCAGCAGCAGCAGCAGAAGCTGCAGCAGCTGTGCCAGCTTCAGCAACTGTGGCTCAACTACTCCCTTTTGGAGCTGGTGGTTCGCTTGTGGAGACGTCGCTGGAGCTCTGGATGGCGCTCAATGGCTCCATGGCCGAGGTATCACAAGTTATCGCAGAAGTGCTGCTGTTGGTATAGTTTGGTGCCGTAAATATAGCCCATTTTCCCTGAGGGCAAGCTCATTCTAATGACGAGCACCATTTTTGGACATATTATAGCGTTTTGCTGTTTGTGCATGTGCAACTTTTGGAATGAGATTGTATACTTCTCGAAGTGTGCTATTGCTTGAAAAATGGTATAGCACGTTTGATTAGGCTATATGGCACTTTGTATAAGACGCTCGGATGTAGACTCAGGTGCATTCCGCGGGTATCAGGTCACGCCTTTATCGAGCTATCTGAAGTGTGCTCGAGTCGCAGGGCCCGAAATGCTTGCTCTCTGGAGGAGGTGCTCCCCCCCACCACAGCGAGAGTGGCCTCCCCCCAGGTCTGCTCTGGAGATGGATTTGACGGCGTGTGGGCGGAGCCACGTCACGAGCCCGTACAACACAGCTGGATGTGAAGTGCATGTGATCGGAGCGAAGTGGGGAGAACTTCACAAATCACGATTCACTTGCAACCCCCTTTTCCATCACGTGTCGAGGTTTGTGCTTGTCGGGCAGTCTTGACGGGCTTGCTCGAGATCGTCGAACTTGCCGTTCGGATAGTTTCGGCGTCCGAAATGACTGCCGTTCGTGAACCTTGCTGCCCCATCCCATCAATTGGTGGTCACCCGGCTGCAGTGACTGCCCAGCAGCCCGACTGGCCATCCCATCAGCAGTGCCATTTGCTCCACCTGCACGCTACCCCCCCCCCTCCCCCCCGACCTGCGCCCGCCTCCGCCACTCCCTTGGGAGTGTCGCGGTGTCACTGTCAGGTCGGTCAGCTCATCGAGATCTTCGCGTGCGGCGGAGGTGTTCCTCCGCCAACACACATTTTCCCCCACCACAGGTCGCGGGCGGCACACCTGCCCCCTTTCGAGCAGCTCTCTCCCGCCCCTCCCCTCCCTCCTCCCCTCCCTTCTCCCCCCAGTCTCCCCTCCCCTCGTCTTCCCTCCCCTCCCCGCGCACCAAAGTGAGCTGATGGGCTCATTACAGTATTTGAAATCTGCTTTTCCTGGGCTGAGGAGAGGAGCCAAGCCAAGCATGATAACAACGAGCTAATTTCGCATTTTCTCGCAGCTACCAGCGCTTCGTGCTTGGCTGAAGCACCTAGAAACGCCATTTTCGTTCTTCAAACTTGTGCTCGTGTGCCACCGTGGTCACGTTGCCACAATACTACGCCGTCTTGCATAGGACGTACGAGCTTGTTAGCCACTCAGCAGCGGCGAACCGTATCTTTACGACGTGCCAGATCCTCAGAACTATTGTGCTGACCCTCGTTTCCTCGCAGCCTTCGTCCTTTCTGGAGATCACTACCAGGAAGAGACGAGTCAGTCCAGTCCAGACTTCTCGCCCTTAGGAGTAGCTGCATTTGCCTAGGGTTTCACCCACGCCCCTCGGTTACACTAGCGACGCTCCCTAGGGAAAGACCCACGTCTTGTGGGCCGTCTAGTTATCTGACGAGAATCGACGATCCACGAGAGTAACTTTCCTGTGGTAACCCGCTTGTCCCTCCGCGTTGCCCCGTCACGGGTGTAGACCGCATGATTCGTTATGAACCTCTCCGCATGAAGCTGCGAGTTCCCCCGCGGCAACGATGAACCTCTTTCGCATAGCTGGGTCCGCCGCCGCCTGGGGGGGAGGCGCGGCGGCACCGCCGGAGCGCGCGCAGGACACCTCGTCATCCGCGCCCACCGCTGCTTCCGCCTCCCCCGCTTCCGCCACTCCGCCTGTGCCTGTGGCTCGATGGGCGGAGATACAATTCAGGTAGGGGGAGAGTCGTGTGCGGGGAGAAGTGTAGCGACGTGGGGTGGATTCGGAAGATGGCCTACGCATTTTCCTTTCGTTTTGCGTCGTCTCACTAGGGTTTCGAGGAGTAGAGCACTGTGGAGTAGGACTTTCTGATTGGAAGGGCCACTGCGAGGAAGCACCGACGACGTTCGACGACGTTCGATCCCAGGACTGCTCCAGGCGACATTCTTTGGATGGCGCGGAAAAGCGAAGACGTCTCGGGGATGGCCGACCCGTCCCCTGGGTAGTCCGAAACTTGCCCACTGGGGTGTGGATCTGTAACTGGTCGTGTTGACTGCTCAGTTGGGAATCACAGGCCGTGCAGGCCGTGACATTGCACGGCGTGATGCTAACGGCGTGCGCCGTGCCATTACGCGGGGAGTCATAGCGTAGCGTTGCATGATGACGCATTGCAGGGCGTTGATAGCAATGCCGGCCGCTCATGCGGTAAGCAGACTCTCGGAATAGAGCCACGTCGCGTAACTGTTTATGCTCATCTCTATTTTTTAGGCGCCTCAAGAATAGACTCCCGTGCATGCTTATCTCTCCAGTCCAGTCCTATCTTACGCTTCCGCGGGAGAAGTGAGGCCATTGACATATCCACCCGTTCGTGCGCGAAACAAGCCGCAACATCGCATCGCATGCACCTCCTTTTGAGTCGACTCAAAACCGTGCATGCTCATCTCTCCATTCCCGTCTTTCGCTTTCGCGGAGAAGGGAGTTCAGTCGCAGATTCGCCCGTTCGACTGTCAAAGGAGCTGCAACATCTCATGCGGCTCATAAGTCGCCTCGAATCGAATTTCGTAGCCATGGATTCTCTACGTCCGTGCTACCAGCCAGCTGGAGCGGCCAACGTTGTCTCCTCCGGCATGCCATGATGCTCTTAGAGAAATGACTCCCGTCCCTCACCATATTCTGATCTACGTTCCTCACCCTATCTTCCCTCCCCCCTTTTTCTCCAATCCAAGAGAACTCTTGTTTCTGCTGTTGGCTTCCTCGAGAAATCCACTCTGTCGTATTTTCCCCACCACCACGGTAGCAGCAGTTACGTTACGCGCCACACCAGCGGCCCCGTTCATCCGGCCTCTCTCGCGCTCATCCGACTCCCTTCCCCCGTCCCCCCCTTCCCCAACCCCCCCCCCCCCCCCCCCCCCCCCTCCCCCTGCCCCGTCCCCCCTCCCCCCTCGTCAACCGTTCCGCCTTGCTCCCCCTCCCCTCCCGCCCCCAGCGACGAGGACAACGACGAGCGGGAGCTTCAGGTGATATGGCGCGAGTACAAGGCGGCTGGCATGCAGGTACGGGGGCACGGGGAATGCGCCTGCTGAAGGGGGATGGGAAGGGGGCGGGGGGGGAAGGGGAAGGGGGCGGGAGGGGAAAGGGGGGGGGGGATGTTTGTGCGAGGGGTGGCGGAAGAGAGGGAGGAGGGGGATTGAGAGGAGCAGGGTGAGGGGAAGGGTGAGAGGAAGGGTGAGGGGAAGGGAGATTGGGAAGGAGGGAGGGAGCGTGAGAAGGGGGGAGGGAGGGAGGGAGGAAGATTTACCAACCAACTCATTTACTCAACAACTGAACTAACTTAATTTCACTGAACCAACGTATTCACCAGCCAAAGAAATCTTCAAGCAGTAGACACACGAAGCTCATTACACTCCGCACTGGCTTAGCCTCCTCCGCCTCCCTCCTCTCTCCTCCTCCTCCTCTTCCTCCTCCTCCTCCTCCTCCTCCTCCTCCTCCTCCTCCTCCTCCTCCTCCTCCTCCTCCTCCCTCCTCCTCCTCCTCCTCCTCCTCCTCCCTCCCCCCCCCCCATCCCTCATCCTCCTCCCCCCATCCCTCATCCTCCTCCCTCATCCCTCATCCCTCATCCCTCATCCCTCATCCCTCATCCCTCATCCCTCATCCCTCTCTTTCCCCACACCACCCACACTCCCCCTTTCTTCCCTCCCCCTTTTTGATTCCCCGTTCATCATCAGGACTCGTTCCGGTTTCTGGGAATCTTCCTAGAGTCGTTCATTCGGATATACGAAGACTGGAAGCCAGAGCCCCCTCAGCGGGACAAGTCCAGCAGCAGCAAGGGGGGGGATGGGGGCCGCATGCGCCTGGGATTCCGCGGGGGAGGCGGAGGGGGAGGGGAAGGGGGAGCCGGCGCAAGGGGGACGATCGTGGGTTGCAGCCAGGGCCATCCGACGGCTGTGATTCAACAGATGGTGTTTGAGATCAAGAATACCATTCCTGCCATCCTGGGTGCGTGTGGTTTGTGTATGGTGATTCGGTTGCGCGGTCGTATGGTGTGCCTTGTGTAGGGAGGCTTACTTGTTAGGAAAGGTTACTCGTGGGAGGATGCATTTCTCCCCCCTCCCGTGTCCTTCCCTTCCCTCCCTGCACACACAAGAGTTCTTCCGATTTGCTGCCTCTCGTGCTGAGAGAAATGGAACCTCTACACAGTAGTAACTCCCCGCCTCATCTCTAACCCCAGGCTCTCCTTTCCTTGCCGCCCCAAAATTGCTCTTCTCCCTTGCCCCCCTCCTCGCTCTAATCCCCCTGCCCTCCTCCTCCCCCCTCTCCCTCCGTTCGCCTGCTCATCTCCTTCAACGCCTCACGTCCCTCTTATCATTTTCCCCTCTCCCCACCCCCCTTTCTTCCTGTGCCCACCACCGCCCCACCACCGCCCCACCACCGCCCCACCACCGCCCCAACCAAATGCCAGAGATGGAGTCAGAGGATCTGTCGGACCGGGCCTTTGTGCTCAACCTGCTGTGCGCACTCACCATCGCTCTGCGCTCCGCGCACAACCGCCGCGTCTTCGCCTTCCACGACGGCTATGCTGCGCTCACCATCCTATTTAAAGGTGCGTGCAGGTGTATTTTGAGTTGACTCAAAATACGCCATCCTATTTAAAGGTGCGTGCATGCATGCTGCCCCCGCCTTTCGCATTATACATGCATCATGCACCCACTCACTCCCATGTTCCCTCTCCCTTCCCTCGCCCTCCCCCGTCCCTCCTCCCCCCTCCACCCGTGTGCTTCCTCGAGCCTCTCTTCTCTCCCCTCCTGTCATTTTGTCTCCCTTCCTCCTCCCCCTCCTTCCCACGCCACATGCTTACTCTCCCCTAACACTCCTCCCCCAATACTCCTCCCCTAACACTCCTCCCCCAATACTCCTCCCCTAACACTCCTCCCCCAATACTCCTCTAACACTCCTCCCCCTAACACTCACTCCTCCCCAACACTCCTCCCCCAATACTCCTCCCCTAACACTCCTCCCCCAATACTCCTCCCCCTAACACTCCTCCCCCAATACTCCTCCCCTAACACTCCTCCCCCAATACTCCTCCCCTAACACTCCTCCCCCAATACTCCTCCCCTAACACTCCTCCCCCAATACTCCTCCCCTAACACTCCTCCCCCAATACTCCTCCCCTAACACTCCTCCCCCAATACTCCTCCCCTAACACTCCTCCCCCAATACCTCCCCTAACACTCCTCCCCCAATACTCCTCCCCTAACACTCCTCCCCCAATACTCCTCCCCTAACACTCCTCCCCCAATACTCCTCCCCTAAACCACCTCCCTCCCCCCCCAATACTCCTCCCCTAACACTCCTCCCCCAATACTCCTCCTCCCCTCCCCCACTCCTCCCCCCAATACTCCTCCCCTAACACTCCTCCCCCAATACTCCTCCCCTAACACTCCTCCCCAATACTCCTCCCCTAACACTCCTCCCCCAATACTCCTCCCCTAACACTCCTCCCCCAATACTCCTCCCCTAACACTCCTCCCCCAATACTCCTCCCCTAACACTCCTCCCCAATACTCCTCCCCTAACACTCCTCCCCCAATACTCCTCCCCTAACACCCCCCCCATACTCCTCCCCTAACACTCCTCCCCCAATACTCCTCCCCTAACACTCCTCCCCCAATACTCCTCCCCTAACACTCCTCCCCCAATACTCCTCCCCCTAACACTCCTCCCCCAATACTCCTCCCCACCCCCCCCATACTCCCCCTAACACTCCTCCCCCAATACTCCTCCCCTAACACTCCTCCCCAATACTCCTCCCCTAACACTCCTCCCCAATACTCCTCCCCTAACACTCCCTACTCCTCCCCTAACACTCCTCCCCAATACTCCTCCCCTAACACTCCTCCCCCAATACTCCTCCCCTAACACTCCTCCCCCAATACTCCTCCCCTAACACTCCTCCCCCAATACTCCTCCCCTAACACTCCTCCCCCAATACTCCTCCCCTAACACTCCTCCCCCAATACTCCTCCCCTAACACTCCCCCCATACTCCCCCTAACACTCCTCCCCCAATACTCCTCCCCTAACCACTCCTCCCCAATACTCCTCCCCTAACACTCCTCCCCCAATACTCCTCCCCTAACACTCCTCCCCCAATACTCCTCCCCTAACACTCCTCCCCCAATACTCCTCCCCTAACCCTCCTCCCCCAATACTCCTCCCCTAACACTCCTCCCCCAATACTCCTCCCCTAACACTCCTCCCCCATACTCCTCCCCTAACACTCCTCCCCCAATACTCCTCCCCTAACACTCCTCCCCCAATACTCCTCCCCTAACACTCCTCCCCAATACTCCTCCCCTAACACTCCTCCCCCAATACTCCTCCCCTAACACTCCTCCCCCAATACTCCTCCCCTAACACTCCTCCCCCAATACTCCTCCCCTAACACTCCTCCCCATACTCCTCCCCAATACTCCTCCCCTAACACTCCTCCCCCAATACTCCTCCCCTAACACTCCTCCCCCAATACTCCTCCGCTAACACTCCTCCCCCAATACTCCTCCCCTAACACTCCTCCCCCAATACTCCTCCCCTAACACTCCTCCCCCAATACTCCTCCCCTAACACCTTCCCTCCCCTCCCCCAATACTTCCTCCCCTAACACTCCTCCCCCAATACTCCTCCCCTAACACTCCTCCCCCAATACTCCTCCCCTAACACTCCTCCCCCAATACTCCTCCCCTAACACTCCTCCCCCCCCCCACTCCTCCCCCAATACTCCTCCCCTAACACTCCTCCCCCAATACTCCTCCCCAATATCCTCCTAACACTCCTCCCCCAATACTCCTCCCCTAACACTCCTCCCCAATACTCCTCCCCTAACACTCCTCCCCCAATACTCCTCCCCTAACACTCCTCCCCCAATACTCCTCCCCTAACACTCCTCCCCCAATACTCCTCCCCTAACACTCCTCCCCCAATACTCCTCCCCTAACACTCCTCCCCCAACACTCCTCCCCCAATACTCCTCCCCTAACACTCCTCCCCCAATACTCCTCCCCTAACACTCCTCCCCCAATACTCCTCCCCTAACACTCCTCCCCCAATACTCCTCCCCTAACACTCCTCCCCCCCCCCCCTACTCCTCCCCCAATACTCCTCCCCTAACACTCCTCCCCAATACTCCTCCCCTAACACTCCTCCCCCAATACTCCTCCCCTAACACTCCTCCCCCAATACTCCTCCCCTAACACTCCTCCCCAATACTCCTCCCCCTAACACTCCTCCCCCAATACTCCTCCCCTAACACTCCTCCCCCAATACCTCCCTCCCCCCCCTAACACTCCTCCCCCAATACTCCTCCCCTAACACTCCTCCCCCAATACTCCTCCCCTAACACTCCTCCCCCAATACTCCTCCCCTAACACTCCTCCCCCAATACTCCTCCCCTAACACTCCTCCCCCAATACTCCTCCCCTAACACTCCTCCCCCAATACTCCTCCCCTAACACTCCTCCCCCAATACTCCTCCCCTAACACTCCTCCCCCAATACTCCTCCCCTAACACTCCTCCCCAATACTCCTCCCCCTAATACTCCTCCCTCCCCCCCAATACTCCTCCCCTAACACTCCTCCCCCAATACTCCTCCCCTAACACTCCTCCCCCAATACTCCTCCCCTAACACTCCTCCCCCAATACTCCTCCCCTAACACTCCTCCCCCAATACTCCTCCCCTAACACTCCTCCCCCAATACTCCTCCCTAAACTCCTCCCCCAATACTCCTCCCCCAATACTCCTCCCCTAACACTCCTCCCCCAATACTCCTCCCCTAACACTCCTCCCCCAATACTCCTCCCCTAACACTCCTCCCCCAATACTCCTCCCCTAACACTCCTCCCCCAATACTCCTCCCCTAACACTCCTCCCCCAATACTCCTCCCCTAACACTCCTCCCCCAATACTCCTCCCCCAATACTCCTCCCCTAACACTCCTCCCCCAATACTCCTCCCCTAACACTCCTCCCCCAATACTCCTCCCTAACACTCCTCCCCCAATACTCCTCCCCTAACACTCCTCCCCCAATACTCCTCCCCTAACACTCCTCCCCCAATACTCCTCCCCTAACACTCCTCCCCCAATACTCCTCCCCTAACACTCCTCCCCCAATACTCCTCCCCTCTCCCCTACAACACTCCTCCCCCAATACTCCTCCCCTAACACTCCTCCCCCAATACTCCTCCCCTAACACTCCTCCCCCAATACTCCTCCCCTAACACTCCTCCCCCAATACTCCTCCCCTAACACTCCTCCCCCAATACTCCTCCCCTAACACTCCTCCCCCAATACTCTCCCCTAACACTCCTCCCCCAATTACTCCTCCCCTAACACTCCTCCCCCAATACTCCTCCCCTAACACTCCTCCCCCAATACTCCTCCCCTAACACTCCTCCCCCAATACTCCTCCCCTAACACTCCTCCCCCAATACTCCTCCCCTAACACTCCTCCCCCAATACTCCTCCCCTAACACTCCTCCCCCAATACTCCTCCCCCTAACACTCCCTCCCCCAATACTCCTCCCTAACACTCCTCCCCCAATACTCCTCCCCTAACACTCCTCCCCCAATACTCCTCCCCTAACACTCCTCCCCCAATACTCCTCCCCTAACACTCCTCCCCAATTACTCCTCCCCTAACACTCCTCCCCCAATACTCCTACCTGTGCAGACATAGTAGCTCAATTCAAGACGGTGCAAGGCATGGCAACGGCAGGCAGGCAGCGCCAGTCTCTCCCCACCTCCCCGGACTCCTCCTCCCCCTCCTCCCCCACGCTTCCGCCACAGACCCCCTCCTCTCCCCTATCCACCCCCCTCCTCCTCCTCCCGCCAACCCCCCCCCTTGGGGGGGGCGGGCGCAGGAATCTCCGACCCGCATGAGACAAGCAACGCCGGCCACGCCCGGGTTAGGGGTAGCAGCAGCGGGGGGGGAGGGGATGGGGGGGGTTCGGTTGATCAGGAGTTGCTACTGCAGCTGCGGCGGCAGCAGCGGTTTCTACAGAGTGTGGTGGTGCACCTGCTGCCGTGTGTGGCCGGGCTTTTCCACACTGAGCTCGTTCGCCTGGTGGCTTCTGCCAAGAGGAAAGCAGCTGCGGCGGCGGCAGCGGCGGCGGCAGCAGCAGCTAGTTCTGCGGAGCAGTCGAATCTCTTTGCGCCGAATCTATTTGCTGCCATAGGGGGGGGCATAGGGGGGAATATGGGGGGAGGGATGGGGGGGGGCTCGGGGGGGAGAGGGGGAGGGAGTGGGGGCAGTGGAGGGGGGGATGGGAGTGGGGATGTGGAGGAGGGAGGTGCCCGGATGAGTCAAGTGATGGTGGATCTCCAAGGAATCGACTCTCTGCTCGGTACGTGCCTTTTGCTCGGTCGGTACGTTCCTTTTGCTCGGTCGGTACGTGCCTTTTGCTCGGTGATTTGCTGCCCTTCCCCCCACGACCTCCCCACCTGTGTCTTCCCCCTTACCCCCCTTTCCCCCTTTCCCCCCTTTCCCCCTTTCCCCCCTTTCCCCCCTTTCCCCCCTTTCCCCCCTTTCCCCCCTTTCCCCCCTTCCCCCTTCCCCCCCTTTTCCCCCGTTCACCCCATTTCGTGACCCCAGAGCTGCTGCACATATTCCGCGCCGAGCAGGACCGGTGGGTGGTTGATCACTCAGCTCAAACATGATCTAACATCCAGCATCATCCACCACACTCCGTGACGCCCCCCCAGAGCTGCTGCACATATTCTGCGTGGAGCAGGACTGGGGCAACCGAGCGGCGTCCTTCCCAAAACGCACACGTATCTCTTCTCCACTCCCCACCATCAACCACCCATGATGCCCCCCCATGACGCCCCCCGTGACGCCCCCCCAGAGCTGCTGCACATATTCCGCGTGGAGCAGGACCGGGGCAACCGGGCGGCGTCCCCGCTGCTGCTGCTGTCCCTGCAGCTGCTGCGCCTGGCGTCCGCGCTCAACCGCTCCGCGCACCGCACGCTCTGCAACTGCGGCAGCCTCTCACTGCTCGTGCAGCTGCTGGGGAGACCGCCCCCCTCCAGGTGGGTTTTGTAGTGGCAGGGATTGTTGCAGGCCTTGCTAAGTCTAACACCATGCACTCAACTGGCTCTATCGCTCCGTACGCCGCCACGCTCTGCAACTGCGGCAGCCACTCCCTGCTCGTGCAGCTGCCGGGACGACCGCCCCCCTCCAGGTGGGTTTTGTAGTGGGTGGGTGGGCTCAGTTAAACCAGAGACTTTAGACAAGGCCGAGAAGTCAGGGGCTCTGCCTCTCGTTGCTGGCGAAGCTGCTGGGGAGGCCTCCTTTCTCCAGGTGAGCCTTGAGACATCCTTGAGACAGCCTTGAGACAGTTCTTTGGCCCTCTTTGGTGCTATCCCCCCACCCACCCCCCTTTCCATATTCCCATTCCCATATTCTCCTCCCACGCCTCCACCTCTCCTCCGTTTCGCGCTGCTCGGCCTTCTGTTGCTGTCCTCCATTGCTGGTCTTGAGAATCCTTTGTTTAAAGAGATTTCAGAAACCAACCGTCATCCCTTGCTGTCCTCCATTGCTGTTCCTGAGAATTATTTTTTAGAGATTTCAAAAACTAACTGTCTTCCCTTGCTGCCCTACATTGCCGTCTTGCATTGCTGGCGGTGCAGTATTCCCGAGGGAGATCAGCTTGCCCTGGAAGAGCACTTGGGGGTGCAGCTGCTGGCGTTAGTGGTGATCCGAGAAGCATGGTGAGAGGGGGAGGCATGCATGCATGCATGCATGCATGGCATGGTGATATGGGGAGGCAGGCATGCATACATGCATGCATGGTGAGAGGGGGGTGCATGTACTCACTGCTTGCTCTCACATGCACATGTACGGCACTTACACCTGCACTTACACCTGCACTTACACCTGCACTTGCACTCAGATACCGGCACAAACGAATGCTGCAAGTTTGGGAGAGATACATGCAGCACACATCACTCACCATCACTCACCATGCCCCCATCACTCACCGTACCCCATCACCCACCATACCCCATCACTCACCCTACCCCATCACTCACCGTACCCCCATCACTCACCATACCCCATCACTCACCGTACCCCATCACTCACCGTACCCCCATCACTCACCATGCCCCATGCCATCGCATCCCACTTCCTTCCACCCACTCACATCCGCCCTGGCCACTCCACCCTCGTTCTTTTCGTTCTCATCTTCATCCCACCTGCCTTCACCCTTCTCTCTCCTTCTCTCTCCTCTCCTCCCTTCCCCTCCCGTCCCCTCCGTTCCCGTCCCCTCCCTCCTCCCTCCTCCCTTCTCCCTCTTCCCTCCTCCCCCCCCCCCGCCCCTGCTCCCCATGCCCCATCAGCTTCACCTCTGCCACGTGTCTTGCCCGTCTGCACTCCCTGGCGCTCTTCCCCCGCATCTCCCGCCTCCTCCAGTGGTCCGCGCACACCTTTGCCGCGCCCACCCTCCCCTCCTCCTCACAAAACTCTCTCATGCCACCGCCGCCCCTCCCAGCCTCCTCCTTCCTAACGACTTCGGACTCCACTCTCACTGTTGACGTTCGGAGAATAGGGTCTTTGAGACTTGCGCGGAAGAGGGGGAGGGCAGGAGGGGGCGGGGGCGGGGGGTATGGGGGTGATGGGGGGGGGAGATGGCGACGGGTTTTCTGGGGAGGATGGGGAGGACGAGGGGGAGGGGGAGATGGTGTGGGGAGAGGAGCAGAAGTGGATGGTTGCACGGGCGCTGGGGCAGGAGTTGATCCGGGAAGTGAGAGTGCTGCGTGCGCGGCCGTCGGTTGGGGATGCAGAGATCTGGGCGTGGAACCTTGCTGTTTCGGCGGTGAGTGGGCTGCTGTGTACTCTGCTGCTGGAAGGGGATGGGACAGAGCAGCTGATAGCGGAGTGGGGGGGGGTGAACCTGTGGGGGAAGTATGGCAGGTGGGCTGGTGAGCAGGGGGATGGGGGGGGAGGGGGGGTGGGCGGAGAGGGGGAGCGAAGTGACGTGGGAAGGGGAGAAGCGGAAGAGGGCGAGGGGGGAGGAGGGGGAGGAGGAGGAGCGGGGACAGGAGAGGGGGGAACGGGCGGAGCAGGAGGAAGAGGGGGAGGGGGAGGAGGGGGGGCTAGGGACGGCATGGGGAACGGCCCGGGACTCCCAGAAGGGCAGTCAGTGGGGGATTACTGGAGCATGGGGAGACGATACACAGTAGAAACCTTCCTAGACACGTTCCGGTTACCACACGAGGGCAAA